CATCAGCTACATGGATTTCTGGCTCTTAAAAGGTGAAAGTGTGTGTGTGTGTGTGTGTGTGAGTGTGTTCGTATGTCTGTTTTCAGATAATGGGATGGATGTGTGTCTGTTTCTGTATTTGTTTGTGTGTGCGTGTCCATGTGCATGTCTGTGTGCGTGTGCGTGGGGGGGGGGGGGCTTCATAAGGGCCCAGGGAGGGTTGACCCCGGTGCAGGGCAGGGGGGAGAAATGGTTTCCTCTCCCCTGATCTCTCCAGACTATTAAAACATGTTCCTCTCTTCCGCCCAGATGAGTGGAGGCGTGCTGCTGACCCACTCGACATATGTGACTGACTGACGCTGTGGAGGGAGCACCACCTCTCTCACCTCCTCAGGCTGCAGTATAACAGCCATGACTCTCTATGGAACCCACTGTTGGAATGGATCATGAGGAAATGGGAATCCTATTATAAAATGTTTCCATCTACTTTTTCAAATGTTACAAGTGGAGATAGCCTACAAATAATTAGATGAAAATCATGGTTTATCCACGACTGCTGTAGCTTTATGAATGTGGTGGGAGATATAACAGAAAGAATGCAGGACACACTAAACATATGGGGTTATTCATAAAAATAATGCCAGTGAATAAAACATTAAAATAGAAACAAAAGAAAAAGAAAAGGGAAATAAAAAGAGTTAAAGGGCAGAGGCATGGTAACTACCCCAGAGAGGTGGTCAGCGCTGGGCATGACTGAGCGTTCTGCCACCTCATCACTTAGACCCTGACTGGATGATCACCAAACCCCCGCCGTCTCCAGCCATGCTCTCATAGCAACCAGGTTACGACTCAGGGTCTCCTCGGACCGATCCGCCACCCTATATCTTACTCAGGTAGCTGCAGGCTTATTTAGCTAGAGCGCTGGATGCAGATTTAACCTAACACATGGCACACTAGAGGAATGACTTGTGAAACGATTCACTCGCTGACTAACTGACTCACTGACTAATTTTAAACTTACTGTTTACTGTCCACTTTTTCAAATTTCAATCTGTTCAAGAAGTTGAACACTTCCTCTAGTTCAGCAGGTGTTGCTCATAGCTCATCAACAACTTCTTAGACTTGTTTGCGGTTGCTAAGCAAAAGCCTCCAAACAGAGGCCGAAGAAATGCCACACTGACACTGTAATACTAGAAGTCATATAAATCTATGTGAAAGATATGGTTCATGTTCTGTTTGAACTTGAACATTATAGATAATGGATTATTTGGGGTCGGTCACCTCCATGCTGTGGTATGCAACTAATGTGATGACGATGCTGTATTGATGTGGGGTTTGGATCAGTGGTCGGTCAGTGTTGGACCCAGTCCTAACCTTAACCATTATGAGCTGAACAGCAGAACAGGTGCTAGGGCTGTAATCTACACTTGGATAGGGGGCTTTAGATTCACATGGACGCCATATGTGGCTACCGCCAAGTGTTTTGGGAAAGGTAAGGCTTCCACCTTGTGGTCATGTTCAGTAGTGTAACCTACTATCTCAGCCAGGTCACCGTGATATGTCAGTATTTGACATCCATCCATGTCTGAGGACGTCGGGAGATGATGTGGAAACCGTCCACTAGGGCCAACAGTGAGCATCTGCCTCACCATATGGGGTGCAAAAGGTTGCATGTTCGAATCCAGTGATAGAAAGTTGTTTTTGAGATGTTTTAAGCCTATCCCAAACTTTAACCCTTCGGAGTTAATGCCTAAACTTAACCTTAAACAATTTGAAATTTGACGTTTGGAACAACTTAGAGATTTGACGTTTGAGAAACATGGATGAACGTCTAATTCTGACGTGAGACTGTGAGAGCTTGTTGACTACTGAAAAGAAAACTACTGTTTTTCTCTCTCTCCAATCCAACAGTGGGCCACAGCTGACTATTTTGGAAAACACTGTACTTGGCACACTTGATACAGCATGTCATCATATTCTCTATACAGCTTCTTAAGACTTTTGTACATATAGGAGGGGGTCCTCTGCATGAATGCAGCAAATACAATAGATACAGTGGGGGAAAAAAGTATTTAGTCAGCCACCAATTGTGCAAGTTCTCCCACTTAAAAAGATGAGAGAGGCCTGTAATTTTCATCATAGGTACACGTCAACTATGACAGACAAAATGAGGAAAAAAAATCCAGAAAATCACATTGTAGGATTTTTAATGAATTTATTTGCAAATTATGGTGGAAAATAAGTATTTGGTCAATAACAAAAGTTTCTCAATACTTTGTTATATACCCTTTGTTGGCAATGCCACAGGTCAAACGTTTTCTGTAAGTCTTCACAAGGTTTTCACACACTGTTGCTGGTATTTTGGCCCATTCCTCCATGCAGATCTCCTCTAGAGCAGTGATGTTTTGGGGCTGTCGCTGGGCAACACGGACTTTCAACTCCCTCCAAAGATTTTCTATGGGGTTGAGATCTGGAGACTGGCTAGGCCACTCCAGGACCTTGAAATGCTTCTTACGAAGCCACTCCGTCGTTGCCCGGGCGGTGTGTTTGGGATCATTGTCATGCTGAAAGACCCAGCCACGTTTCATCTTCAATGCCCTTGCTGATGGAAGGAGGTTTTCACTCAAAATCTCACAATACATGGCCCCATTCATTCTTTCCTTTACACGGATCAGTCGTCCTGGTCCCTTTGCAGAAAAACAGCCCCAAAGCATGACGTTTCCACCCCCATGCTTCACAGTAGGTATGGTGTTCTTTGGATGCAACTCAGCATTCTTTGTCCTCCAAACACGACGAGTTGAGTTTTTACCAAAAAGTTCTATTTTGGTTTCATCTGACCATATGACATTCTCCCAATCCTCTTCTGGATCATCCAAATGCACTCTAGCAAACTTCAGACGGGCCTGCACATGTACTGGCTTAAGCAGGGGGACACGTCTGGCACTGCAGGATTTGAGTCCCTGGCGGCGTAGTGTGTTACTGATGGTAGGCTTTGTTACTTTGGTCCCAGCTCTCTGCAGGTCATTCACTAGGTCCCCCCGTGTGGTTCTGGGATTTTTGCTCACCATTCTTGTGATCATTTTGACCCCACGGGGTGAGATCTTGCGTGGAGCCCCAGATCGAGGGAGATTATCAGTGGTCTTGTATGTCTTCCATTTCCTAATAATTGCTCCCACAGTTGATTTCTTCAAACCAAGCTGCTTACCTATTGCAGATTCAGTCTTCCCAGCCTGGTGCAGGTCTACAATTTTGTTTCTGCTGTCCTTTGACAGCTCTTTGGTCTTGGCCATAGTGGAGTTTGGAGTGTGACTGTTTGAGGTTGTGGACAGGTGTCTTTTATACTGATAACAAGTTCAAACAGGTGCCATTAATACAGGTAACGAGTGGAGGACAGAGGAGCCTCTTAAAGAAGAAGTTACAGGTCTGTGAGAGCCAGAAATCTTGCTTGTTTGTAGGTGACCAAATACTTATTTTCCACCATAATTTGCAAATAAATTCATTAAAAATCCTACAATGTGATTTTCTGGAGAAAAAAAATCTCATTTTGTCTGTTATAGTTGACGTGTACCTATGATGAAAATTACAGGCCTCTCTCATCTTTTTAAGTGGGAGAACTTGCACAATTGGTGGCTGACTAAATACTTTTTTCCCCACTGTACATATCTGCTTTCTACCTGACCTGTGTGCTTATTGCTTACTTTTTGATAGTCATTCCATTCTCTTATGATACTTATCTTGAAACTGGATTTGTCAATCCATAGTAATTTATCCAGTAACACCTTTTACATAGGACTACTAGAGGTAAGCACTTATTCTCCATTTCTCTGACAGTTTACTCATCTGAAGAGCCAAGAGTCGGTATGAGAAATAAGTGGGTCATTTTCTGGAACAGTCAGAGCTATGGAACCCACCACCATTTCTCCCAGGTACACTGGCCTGTTGTCTGTGAAAAGCTATGAAGCTGAAATTAATAATAAACTCAGGGTCCATGAGTAGCTGTAGCCACAGTGCAGATGACTGAGATGGAGAGAGGAAACGTCATAAACATTTCATTCACACTGTGTGCTATGGCTGTTATGGGTGTTCAGTTAACGGGCAGAATATGACATGTTGACGAAAACACCAGGAAAATATTGCTATGAAATCTCTCAATTTTAGATATTGTTTGAGGCAGAGAAAGAGATTACACACATATAACTGGAAAAGTGTGCTAGAGGCTGTACTGAATAAGGAAAGGTTAAATTGAGTTCGTAGTTTTACTGAAAAGTAACTTGGGGTAATTTTGGGGTCAAACTATGTTTGCTATATACTGTATCTGAAATTGTTTCATTCTGTTTTGATAATAAATTATGCATTCGAATGCCATTTAGAGTTTAGATTAGTCTCTGTAATCCATTGCTGTTGGGTTGTAACACAGTGCGAGTGTGTGTGTCTGGTTTTTCTGAATACATTTTAATTTTGGTAGGTGTGATATTTACAGCTTAAAGAGCCAAATCCAGCCTCGTAAAAAGTTACCGTCCCATTTTACAGCTTTATAAATAGAGTTAATTCGTTTTTTGTCTGACGTGAGATTAAAAAAGTGAACAGAGGGAGAAGGTGTTTTAAGGTGTCCATTTAATTAATTAATGCGCCCTGCGGTCAGGATACAAACACAAAATGATGTGTTTGATGTGGGGAAAAATGCTAGCAGTCCATCTTTCAGCAAAATATGGCACTGAAAACTAAGATGGGAGATGTGGGTACTATACTCTACTATTAGGAGTCTGGGTGAAATATGTAGTCTACGTACACAAGGTTTAGCCCCTGTAAATTCAGCCTGGGTTACAAGTGCAGTAAAGTACAGCTGAATCTGCCTCTTTCTCCCACTGATGGCAGTATAGAATAAATGTGGAGAGGGGTTCCCAGTAGCTGACTGACCCTAGTTCTGTCCTGTGTGCTCTTTGGGAGCAGTGGTCTTGGTGGTCTGAGACTCTGGTGGTCTGTGACAGATCTGACACCCCTCTCTCTCTCCCCCCCCGAAGCCCACTTTGGTCCGGTTTGGCCCTGATCCAGCCATGAATCACTCCCCTAGGCTGTGTTACAGGAAGACCCAGAGAAACAGGCCTAAATCATACCTGTCCAAACCCCATGTGACAGGAAGCTTAAGACCAACCGGGGAGGGAAAAGTCCAACATGAAATGTATCTATTAAAGATGGAGTTTTATATGAATGTGTTTTATACGAGCCTGCGGTTGCAGAGGGATCTGCTGTGTATACATACACTACGTCCTTTGGACTTGAGTTAGGGAGCAGTGGATTTATTCATTCACAGGCCTTCTGTAAAACCTGAGGGAGCGAGGCTCGGCATGAGTAACTCAGACAGTTTATTTGGGAAATGAAGCATGTCATTGAATAACACAGTGTTATGTCCTATCAGGATCCTATAACAGTTCAGATAAAAAACTAACAGTGTAAATCTCTGCTTAAGGCCACCCCTGCAGTAGCCTACTGGTCATCATGTGGGCTATTTTTTTAAATTATTTTTTAAAAAGTTTGATTCCTGTGGTGATTCAGGCGATAGTGAGAATAGCTCTCTCTCTCTTCTTCCTCTTCCTCCTCCTCTCTTCGAGGCGGCCGGTGGCGTCAGCGAAGAACATTACCTCCTCTTTGCTCTCGACCTCCCTCTGGAGGAACTGGAGAGCAGCACTGTTGAATCCCAGAACATCCTGGAGCAGAAGAGATTAACAGTTTTATATGACTTGTGGAACATCAGCCTTTAGAGTACATTTTTCTATATTCTCTGATTAGACTCACCCTGATCTCTCTGACTTTAGAGATAGTGTTGGTTCTCAGCTCGTCTATGACGGTCAGCAGCATCTGGTTACTGGAGATCTGGCCAAAGTGGATCCTGGAGAGACAAGGACAAGCACAGTGAGGACAGACCCTGACAAACTGTACATGAGGCTCATCTACCCACACTCACACTTCATGTACCTCGGAGACACCAGACATACACTTGTGTGAGGTTGTTTGCATATGGGAGAAATACACAAACTGAGTGACAAACACTTCTGATTGGTGTGAGATTGTTTGTTAGCATAACCGTAGTCGAGGGGTCATCCTTCCAAATCTCGTCTTGTTGACTCGACTATTGTAAGTCTGGAGAACGCTGGCTGTTAACGCTCACATTTTATATACTGAGTAGAAATGACGTTTCCCTTCAGGAGAGGCATTTCCTTGTTTTTCCCATTTTGTTTGTGCCTCTTTTCCTACCTTGTGTCGGACAAAGTTTTATTAGTCTATGCAGAGTAACTTAATTTTTTTTCTTATTGTAGCTAGCTTGTTGCAAGTCAGAATTATTTTCAGAAACAGCACATCTTTTTGGAGCTCCACCTATGCAAAATAGTTGATTGGTTTGATAAGTGGCAACGCGTCACTAGTTTGAATCTAGACTCCACCGTACTCCACCTCTTCCTGAGGAGAACTTCCCCAGGTTTTCACACTACTTGAGAAGCCTGGCGTCAAAGGCTAGCGTACCTGAGCAGGAAGAAGAGGCAGCGGCACACTAGCTCCACCTCCAGGCCGTCCTGGACATAGCAGTTGAAGAGAGACAGCAGGTCTGGGATGTAGGGGAACGGCAGGACCAGCAGAGACACCTCCAGCTCACTGGATCGGACCTTCTTTATCACGTCCAAGACGTAGCGAGACGGCTGCAAGAGGCAGGAGGATGTGGTTACTATGGTAACATGATAGATTAGTGAGGAACAGAACTAGTACCCTGGGCTATGTATGTATCATGATAATTTCAGATGGAATTAAAAACGTACAGAAACGTTTCCAAAGGCCACAAGGATAGGATTGGCCTTAGGTGGAGGCAACTGTTTTCCGGATGACTGGCATGCTATCTGATGCTCCTCCATGTTCCTGCTCTCTGATCTGTACAGCTCCAGAGCCTCCATGACACGCTCAGCCTGAAGAGACACACACACACCGGCCGTTACAAACTACACACACACCTATCTGAACGTGCACACACAACCTCTCCATCTCTGCAGTCTAGTTCTTTGACATGGAGACTCACAGCTTTGACTGTCTCTATGGTTTTCTTCGCCGCTGGTGCTGCCTCTGCGTCTTTGATCTCTCCTGGAACCTGTGAGACACACAAGACGTCAGTGAGACAGACACTAAACGACCCTGAGAAAACTAACCTTTTTATTTCCACTGGTTTTAAGTAAAGTCAGCACTTACCACAGGCTCATCCCCTTTGGCCATGCCCTCCTCAAACTCAGCCTCTCTCTCCTAAAGAAAAACATTTGAGAGGGTGAAAAAGTTCAAGATAAAATCTGATTGGTGTCCACTATCTCCCTTCCCTTTTACCTACAGACAGAGCATGTTTCTGGGGCACCACTACCCACCATCTCTCTCTCCTCCGCCAGGATGATCGGTTCTCTGGTCCTCTCCCAGAGCCTCAGGGACTTGTCATGGGACGAGGACACAATGTGGTCCCCGTTAGGACTGATGGCCAGACACCACACCTCCCGATGGTGACCCTGAGGATGGCACATCACACACAGGGGTCAGCTGTTAAAGGTCAACACTAGGGTGGGGTCAAATCCATTTTCAATTTAGTCAATTAAGGAAGGGAAATGTAATTCCACCAATGGGAAAGAAAAAGCATTTTTATAATTGGTTATGTCATTTATCAATATTCAACAATTTTTTTATCCCGGAACTCTAGGCCTCATCTCCTTATGGGAAATGTAGCTAACAGCATGGGAGTGAATGTCACCTCTAAGGTCTGGATGTGCTCAAACTTGTCTGCGTCCCACTGTTTGATCTTCTTGTCCTTCCCCGCTGTGAAGAACAGATGGGTTTTGGGGACAAACTGAAGGAACATGACGCTGAGAAAAGCAAGAGTGAGAGAAAAAAAAACAGATGAGAAATTGGAAAAAACGGCGACATGAAAGAGCAGATGGGGTGATGTCATCGGTCAGAGGCAGCTAACAAGGACAATGTTTCTGAAACTGGAGATGAAATTAAATATTTTACTGGAAATGGAGAGAGTGCAGCCAACGTCTATTAAATATCATTCAAGACCGTTGGTCAAGCATTCACATTGAGCCATTTACACCGGCCATATGGCTGACAGCTTAGGATGATGTGTTCTGGCAGTATATTCTATATTCATATTAAGATATACAGGAAGTTTACATACACTTAGGTCGGAGTCATTAAAACTCGTTTTTCAACCACTCCACAAATTTCTTGTTAACAAACTATAGTTTTGGCAAGTCGGTTAGAACATCTACTTTGTGCATGACACAAATAATTCTTCCAACAATTGTTTACTGACAGATTATTTCACTGTATCACAATTCCAGTGGGTCAGAAGTTTACATACACTAAGTTGATTGTGCCTTTAAACAGCTTGGAAAATTGCAGAAAATGATGTCATGGCTTTAGAAGCTTCTGATATCATTTGAGTCAATTGGAGGTGTACCTGTGGATGTATTTCAAGGCCTACCTTCAAACTCAGTGCCTCTTTGCTTGACATCATGATCAAATCAAAAGAAATCAGCCAAGACCTCAGAAAAATAATTGTAGACCTCCACAAGTCTGGTTCATCCTTGGGAGCAATTTCCAAACGCCTGAAGGTACCACGTTCATTTGTACAAACAATAGTACGCAAGTATAAACACCATGGGACCACGCAGCCGTCATACCACTCAGGAAGGAGGCGCGTTCTGTCTCCTAGAGATGAACGTACTTTGGTGCAAAAAGTGCAAATCAATCCCAGAACAACAGCAAAGGACCTTGTGAAGATGCTGGAGGAAACAGGTACAAAAGTATCTATTTCCACAGTAAAACGAGTCCTATATCGACATAACCTGAAAGGCCGCTCAGCAAGGAAGAAGCCACTGCTCCAAAACCGCCATAAAAAAGCCAGACTACGGTTTGCAACTGCACATGGGGACAAAGATCGTACTTTTTGGAGAAATGTACTCTGGTCTGATGAAACAAAAATAGAACTGTTTGGCCATAATGACCATCGTTAAGGGGGATGCTTGCAAGCCGAAGAACACCATCCCAACCGTGAAGCACGGGGGTGGCAGCATCATGCTGTGGGGATGCTTTGCTGCAAGAGGGACTGGTGCACTTCACAAAATAGATGGCATCATGAGGAAGTAAAATTATGTGGATATACTGAAGCCCTGTGTAGCTTAGTTGGTAGAGCATGGCGCTTGCAACGCCAGGGTTGTGGGTTCGATTCCCACGGGGGGCCAGTATGAAAAAAGAAATGTATGCACTCACTAACTGTAAAAGTCGCTCTGGATAAGAGCGTCTGCTAAATGACTAAAATGTAAAATGAAGCAACATCTCAAGACATCAGTCAGGAAGTTAAAGCTTGGTCGCAAATGGGTCTTCCAAATGGACAATGACCCCAAGCATACTTCCAAAGTTGTGGCAAAATGGCTTAAGGACATCACAGTCAAGGTATTGGAGTGGCCATCACAAAGCCCTGACCTCAATCCTACAGAAAATGTGTGGGCAGAACTGAAAAAGCGTGTGCGAGCAAGGAGGCCTACAAACCTGACTCAGTTACACCAGCTCTGTCAGGAGGAATGGGCCAAAATTCACCCAACTTATTGTGGGAAGCTTGTGGAAGGCTACTCGAAACGTTTGACCCAAGTTAAACAATTTAAAGGCAATGCTATCAAATACGAATTGAGTGTATGTAAACTTCTGACCCACTGGGAATGTGATGAAAGAAATAAAAGCTGAAATAAAATAATTATCTCTACTATTATTCTGACATTTCACATTCTTAAAATAAAGTGGTGATCCTAACTGACCTAAAACAGGGAATGAATTTTTACTAGGATTAAATGTCAGGAATTGTGAAAAACTGAGTTTAAATGTATTTGGTTAAGGTGTATGTAAACTTCCAACTTCAACTGTATATATATATATACAGTGGGGGAAAAAAGTATTTAGTCAGCCACCAATTGTGCAAGTTCTCCCACTTAAAAAGATGAGAGAGGCCTGTAATTTTCATCATAGGTACACGTCAACTATGACAGACAAAATGAGAAAAAAAAATCCAGAAAATCACATTGTAGGATTTTTAATGAATTTATTTGCAAATTATGATGGAAAATAAGTATTTGGTCAATAACAAAAGTTTCTCAATACTTTGTTATATACCCTTTGTTGGCAATGACACAGGTCAAACGTTTTCTGTAAGTCTTCACAAGGTTTTCACACACTGTTGCTGGTATTTTGGCCCATTCCTCCATGCAGATCTCCTCTAGAGCAGTGATGTTTTGGGGCTGTCGCTGGGCAACACGGACTTTCAACTCCCTCCAAAGATTTTCTATGGGGTTGAGATCTGGAGACTGGCTAGGCCACTCCAGAACCTTGAAATGCTTCTTACGAAGCCACTCCTTCGTTGCCCGGGTGGTGTGTTTGGGATCATTGTCATGCTGAAAGACCCAGCCACGTTTCATCTTCAATGCCCTTGCTGATGGAAGGAGGTTTTCACTCAAAATCTCACGATACATGGCCCCATTCATTCTTTCCTTTACACGGATCAGTCGTCCTGGTCCCTTTGCAGAAAAACAGCCCCAAAGCATGATGTTTCCACCCCCATGCTTCACAGTAGGTATGGTGTTCTTTGGATGCAACTCAGCATTCTTTGTCCTCCAAACACGACGAGTTGAGTTTTTACCAAAAAGTTCTATTTTGGTTTCATCTGACCATATGACATTCTCCCAATCCTCTTCTGGATCATCCAAATGCACTCTAGCAAACTTCAGACGGGCCTGGACATGTACTGGCTTAAGCAGGGGGACACGTCTTGCACTGCAGGATTTGAGTCCCTGGCGGCGTAGTGTGTTACTGATGGTAGGCTTTGTTACTTTGGTCCCAGCTCTCTGCAGGTCATTCACTAGGTCCCCCCGTGTGGTTCTGGGATTTTTGCTCACCGTTCTTGTGATCATTTTGACCCCACGGGGTGAGATCTTGCGTGGAGCCCCAGATCGAGGGAGATTATCAGTGGTCTTGTATGTCTTCCATTTCCTAATAATTGCTCCCACAGTTGATTTCTTCAAACCAAGCTGCTTACCTATTGCAGATTCAGTCTTCCCAGCCTGGTGCAGGTCTACAATTTTGTTTCTGGTGTCCTTTGACAGCTCTTTGGTCTTGGCCATAGTGGAGTTTGGAGTGTGACTGTTTGAGGTTGTGGACAGGTGTCTTTTATACTGATAACAAGTTCAAACAGGTGCCATTAATACAGGTAACGAGTGGAGGACAGAGGAGCCTCTTAAAGAAGAAGTTACAGGTCTGTGAGAGCCAGAAATCTTGCTTGTTTGTAGGTGACCAAATACTTATTTTCCACCATTATTTGCAAATAAATTCATAAAAAATCCTACAATGTGATTTTCTGGATTTTTTTCCCTCAATTTGTCTGTCATAGTTGACGTGTACCTATGATGAAAATTACAGGCCTATCTGATCTTTTTAAGTGGGAGAACTTGCACAATTGGTGGCTGACTAAATACTTTTTTTCCCCACTGTATGTATGTATATATATATATATATATATATATATATATATATATATATATATATATATATATATATATACACACACACACACACACACACACACACACACATATACATACATACATTCACACACACACACACGTAATATTTTTTTCTGTACCTGTCATCGTGGGCAAACATAGATCGGTGACAGTCCCCAAAGTCCAGACCCCAGATCTTGACGTTTCTGTCTGCAGAGCCGGTTGCTATCAAGGCACTGTCCTGAGATGGAGAAGAAGCAACATTCAGAGTCAAGACAGATTGGACACATACTTTAACCAACACACACTCAAGTATGCACATTCCATTTCATCTACTGTCACACATTACATTCGTTTATCATTTAGTTTGGTGTTGCTAGGATGAGTACCGGTACTCACATGAGAGATGTCCAGGCAGAGCACAGGCAGCTTGTGTCCATACAGAGACAAGAAGAACTTCAGTGTGTCTGTGTAGAAGACCTTGACAGTGCAGTCCAGCAGGGAGACAGCCAACAGTCTCTGGTCAGGAGAATATTTCACACACAACACTTCCTCATCCAGCTGCAGTGTACGCATGTGTTTCACCGTCAGCCTCCTGCAACACACAAACACAAACAATTAGAGCAGAGTCAACAGAAACTCCAATCAAGTGCTCACTCAATAAAAGCTCACTTGAATAACAGCATGCAGCCTGACTGGGCACAGAACTAGTTGCCTCTAGCATGAAACAGCATTCTAAGTGTTATTGACACTATGTGAAACAGAAGGAATAAAACTTGGCGTACTTCTGTGTAGCATCTTTGTCCTTAATCAGCTCAAACTCCCAGAACTTCACCGTCTTGTCAGCCCCGCCCGTCACTATCCCCCTCTGAGGAAACCACATCATTACAGTCAAATAAACAGTCAGAGCTAATGGGAATGTTTGAACACAAATACAATTGTATGGACTTTTGTCTACAGATAAGGGGCCTATGGAGTTGTAATGGAGATTGGCACTTTAGAAGATGAGACTCATGAAAACGCTACATGTATTGTGGATGATGTTGAACATGGACAGGGAGATACACAGACCGAGACAGACAATACCTGATCAGGAGACAGACAGAGGGACCACAGAGCTCCGTTATGGGCGTCGACAGTCTCCAGGAGGGTTCCTGATGCCAGGTCAAAGATCTGAATCTTACCACTCTGATCGGAGAGAGAGAAGGTTAGCCTGGGTTACACGCAATAGTTTAATACTGGATAATACACATCTGCAGTAGTTTGGTGTATGTTAGTGTGTGCATGCATGTGTGTTACCTTGGTTCCTAGGATGATCTGCCTGTCTCCAGGGACGAACAGGGAGCAGAGGGCGTACTCACACTCCATGGTGCGAATCACCTGCAGGGTAGACCTGTGACAGGGGGAGAGACTTCCCGTTAGACACCCAATCAGAATGTAAAAAACTGCTTATAATACAGTATGTGTCTAGGTGTCATAATGTGAGTCACCTTTAAAAGATGCTGGAAAGCCAGTTTAATTAACTAGATTTAACTTGTACAGTGAAACCACATGGTCAGGTCAATCCCAGTCCTGTGTGAACTGACATTCCCACCTGTTCCAGACTTTGACGGTGTCCCCGGAGGCGGAGAGGACAGCGATGTTGTCTGAGCTGAAGGCCAGCGTGCGGGCATCGGTGCGGTGGCCTCCCAGTGTGAGCCGGGAGGTCTTAGTGACCGTGGGGTTTTTGTCAGACGTCTTGAGGCTGTAGGTTTCCACTGTGTTGTTCTGGAGCAGCATGGCTACCTTCAACTCCCCACCCGCACACAGCAAGCAGTCCACCCATCTGGGATATACGTGACACAAAATGTTGGTTGGTTGCTTGAGTGTGTGAGTGTGCGTGTGTGTGCGCATGTGTGTTGCTGTGTACCTGATCTTGGCGGAGGCCTTGATGTTGGTCAGTCTCACAATCTCATTTGCTAGTTTCCTTTCCACCACAGGATCTGGAGCGGCGTCCTCCTCTGCACCCTGTGCATCCCTACACCAGGGGGCAGCAGCACCTCATCTTTACATTTCACCAATTTCATCAACATAACTGTATTCATAAACATTGGAAGTATTTACGGTAGTTTGATTGGAATTAGATTCCACGTTTTATTTTTTCAAATCATCTCTGAAGGCTTTGCAGTATCTGTCTGGCCCAACTTTGGCTACATCTGCAGACTGGTCCCTGCCGTGACTGAGGTGACAGTGTGATCTCTACTGTGTGCGACATACCTGGCCTTCTTCTTGGCTCTCTTCAGCTTCTTGGCCATCACCCTCTCCACCTCGTCCTCTGGCAGCACACTGAACACCTCCAGCACTGCGTCTGAGCCCTAACCAAAGAGGGGGATGGGGAAAAGGAGGAAAGATCAGAGGGAAGAACACACATATTAGTGATCTGAGAAATGTATGACAATAAATCAATATGACTGGAGGGTAAGTGACACTGTACCAACATTAAATGGTCAAAGGTCAATACTTACATGGCACGCCAGGACCTTTGCCTTGGCATCAGTAGTCATGGAGACCACCCTGTCCCTGGCCTCTCTCAGTAAAGAGCCAGCTTTCTTACAACTCAGGATCCTCTGAGTGAGTGAGTGAGAGAGAGAGAGAAAAGTATGAAACAGACACAGATGTCAGATACACATGCTATTAGACAGTAAATATGACATTCATTACTAGCTACAATACTTCGTCAGAGTTTTTTCTAGATTAACTGATTAACTAGTGCTGTAGGTAACCAATTGTGGTATTTTGCCCAGTAGAGGATCATAGTCTGTCGTACCTCCTCAGGGCTCTCGTCCACAACTTCCTCCTCCTCATCATCAAGCAGGCTTTTCCCTTTCTTCTCCTTCGGTTCACCAGCCTCTTTGCCCTGAACGACGCACAATCCGAGAGAGAAGGACTCAACTAGCATTTTATTCAGATAAGATATTTTTAACTTTTTCATTATTGTCCAATATATGTAGTTATGTGTGTAGAAGGCTCATTGTAGCTCTTCTCTGTGCTTACCTCCTGTAGGTAGTTGATGTCCCAGGCCCGGAGCTCACTGTCGGCTGAGCCTGTTATCAATCTACTCTCTTGGTTCAGCAGTGCCATCCCCCACACCTGACAAACACACAACCAAGGTGATCCAATCAGATCGAGTCATCTTTGAGAGACACTTATCTAAATCAGACAAGTGACCCAATAACCTCTTAGAACACCATCCAATGTCAACAACACGTGTGACATAATCAAATGTTAAGCTAGACAGGAAGCACTCACCTCACTGCGATGTCCCAGCATGGTCTTAAAGCAGTGCTGGGTGTCCAGGTCCCACCACTTTACAAAGCTGTCCTTTGAGCTGGAGAAAACAACAGAAAGACCATTCAGACATCGAGAACCACAGTATTGCAGCAAAGTCAGGGGGCGGTAACTTTCCCTAGCTGGCATCCAACCTGCGCCCCTCGTCTCTCAACGCTAGAACACTAAAGGCTTCCGAATGCTTCCCGAAACAGTTCATGCCTATATTATGACGACATTTTGTGAAGTTTTTGTTCGTTTTGGTCTTTGGCAAGGGTTTTTTAGGCTGTTCGTGCACACAACATTTTGGCTCGAGGCAAGTCAAAGTCGGTAGCCGAAGTCTACGCCCCTTCGTTGGTGATTGGTCAACAGTAGGGATTCTTCAATAAAGTGTTCTAATGCAAATTTTTCCACTTGAGAAATACTGCACCAAACATCTTAGTTAGATGTAAAATTATGTGACTAAGATCTCCTCTGCAAAACCTTCAAAATTAATGACCGACTTCTTGAGTTATCTTTGAGTAATTCTGACTATTTTGAGGAAGTGTATTCTGGCTACGGCGTCTCAAAATGAACAAACAGTACTATTGCTGTGTTTTTCAAGTGACGGTCTTTTAAAGGACATGAACAGTAAAAACCATGGTTTTCATAAAATTTGATGATATTTGAAGGAAACCTAACCAAAGTATGAAAAATGTTCTACATTGATAAAGTTTGATCATAAAGTTACTGGTCCCCTCCCCATGTCAAACACTTGGATTCATTATTAAGTGGACAAGGTGACATCACCTTAAGTCTCATTTTAATACACCAATGGTAACATGATATTCAGCCAGCATGGAACAAAAAGGGGGGAGGGGGCGTTCAAAACTCTGAAGCAGTTGATAAGTCATCACATCCGTCAGTGCTGCTGTGAACCGCATTACAAGAGACATGCCAAACAGGAGATGTATAAAAAGAACAGTGATATCTTTGATGCAATTTCAATGTTGTTTGAGTTGCTTTGTGTATCACCAAATTTGTTTGAGATGATTTTACTGCAACACTGCAACACTGCATCCAAGTTCCCTGACATAGGCGTTTCAAAGAGCTGTCAGTCAAGGCGAGCTCATGAATATAAGCTCCCTGCCAACTCAGCCAGTCTTTTCAAACTTCCTGGTAGTTAGCCATGAGAGAAAAAGTACTTTTTAGAATGACTGTTCAGGACCTTTAAGAGAGTATGCGAGCACACTCGTTCAGTTTGCCTAGCCGAGTTCGAACCGAAGCATGCTGATGCCTTAACAGTACCAAAGGCCGAGACAGAAACTCAGAGCCCTACATATGAGTGGTGTACTACCTGGAGACCAGGAGGTTCTTGTCTTTGAGGAACAGGGCCTGTGTGACAGCGTCTTTGTGTCCTTTCAGTCGGTACAGACCACACTCGTTGATCACATCCCACACAATCACATCCGTGTCCTGAAAGGAAAGGAGATAATAATGGACATATTACTAATCATATTTTAAATGCAAAAGCCTTAGCTTAACCATGACGTCACGACGGTGGTCATCCTAGGGATCTTGCCATCTCTATGGCAGCATAGTTCTGTTCTTACCCTGGATCCGGTCACCAGCCGAGCACCGAGAGTGTCATAACGGATCACAGTGACTGCGGACTTGTGCCCGTTGAAGGACACATTGCTCTCGCCGTTCAATAGGCTGAAGATGCGCACTGCCCCGTCCTCATAACCCACGGCAACATGGACACCATCAGGGGAGGAGCAGAGGTACGTCACCTCGTGCTTGTTCCCCTTGAGAATAAGAACCTTGGGACAGAGGAGACAGTTTCAAAGAAAGACATTAACCTAATATGTCATCTCTCACTATGAGGAAATACTGGTGATACATAGAGTTACAATTTGGTATCACTGGCCAAGTCATCTTATTTGAGTTATCGATAGCCATTGGTTAGGACATTTCATGCCCAGTTATAAGAGCACTGTCAGCAATGATGACCCTGATATTGGCTATGACAGCAGCAGTAGCCTACTGACAAATCCACTGTCAACACTACATGAACAGATCATCGCAAGTCTCTCACCTTCTCTGCTTTACGCACGTCCCATATGAAGACATGCTCGCAGGCAGCCACAGCCACAAAGCGTCCTCTCTCCCCTCCTCGCATGGTGACAAAGGCGATGTTGGCCTTCTGGCTCCCTATTACTCCAAACACGGCGCTGGCAGCATAGCGCAGGTACTGCTTGGTCAACCCCATGGTCGCAAGATCAGGGCGATATCACAGGCTAGGCAGGATGAGATAGGGAGGATGAGATAGTGATGATGGTGGATTGGAGAACAGACAAGGGATGACAACAACTGGAGCATCAGCTAATGTTAGCCCTTTTGACTTCAATGCATTTCAGAAGGGCAAGAGTATCAGCATAATGTAGGCTAAACAGTGCAACAAGTGTACAATGTGCATTATAGCAACCCTGGGTGCCAGTCTGTGTCTGCCCCCTTGCAAACTCCTTATGGAATTGTCCTGTTTGGCTTGACAAGGACAGCAAAGGAGTAACGTTAGGCAAGAGCACAAACAGATCTGGGACCAGGCTACATTATAGTTACAACATACAAAACAATGTATAAAACAGTTACTAGTACTATTGTAATAACTAGCTAGTTAAGTCAATTCTGACAACTACATTTGTTAGAAGACTTGGTGAGATCCAGTGACCATAGCCAAGTTCCGCTGCAGTACGTTAGCTGGCTAGCTAGGCCCACGTGGTGTTCCACAGCATCGCTAACCAACTAAATTACACAGTAACACAAGCAAAAACATGTTTTGTGACTGATTGATAACCATTTCGTTTACAAATTGATGATGTATACGTTTCCGAATTGCTTATCTTACTTGAATAATGTTGCTAATTCCTAGACTGAAGCATCCAGCCAGTGATGTTTTCTGACTTCTAGGCACACGAGGAAGACCCTACTAATCAAACGCAGTTGGTCTAACACAAACACATTCGCACACATTGATGTCTGTCAAATTTCAGAAAGGCAGATACGAAAATACGTATATATTTTTTAAATGTTTTACATTAGTATTGTACTTATGGTCGTGTTTAATTGCAATATACTAAAATATCGATCAATCACATGGAGATGTATATGTATCCATTACTTTAGTCTGTTTAATGGGTCTTGTGTTGTTGTTTATTTACAGAAAAGCTCTCCTCAGTCATATATTTGACCATATCTAAAGTCCTACATTTACCTACAATATATAAAAAAATCTCTCGATGATTTACATACAATTTTAACCGCTCCTCTGAGTGGCGTTGGCCTATGCGTATTACACAAATGTTGTGATTTATCGTACGTCCCTAGCCATTATTCGGGAATATTTTTGTGTGTGCGTATGTTCCACTGAGGGATAGGTGTGTTCTTTGTCGTGAACAAAGATTGTATTTTATATTGGCAAGACAGTCGAGTGACCGCTCTAACAATTGAAATGCATGTCCTCAAAGATGGAAGACAGGCGGGAGGAGGCAAGATCAGGTGGGACCATTCTAGCAAAGACAGTACATTATGAAGCAAGATTTGGTTTGGGGTCCCCTCATCTCACGGCAAAACATTTCAGTGGCCCCCCCTCTTGACGCTGGGGATAAACTTGTAAAAGGACATTTTGTGCAATTCTACACATTTTGCCATGGGAAGTTGAGAAAATGTTGCTGTTTTAAAGGCATAGTGTAATCAAAAACGTGATGTTCCTGTGTTTTATACTTCCATACTATGAGGTTGGACTAATACTGTGAAATTGTGAAGATGATGATAATGCTCTTTTAGTGGGCTTCCATGGAACCATCACCATGTGGTAAATTAGTTAATAGACCAATAAGAAAGAGAGTTCCAAACCTCTCTGCCAAAACAGCACATTTTCAGTTTTCCCCTCCCCACTCAGACCACTCCCAGACAGTCCTAGCAAAATTCTTGCTTGAGAAATAGCTTGCTAAGAAGCTTCGAGGCAAGCAACACTGAAGCATGCATGAGAGCACCAGCTGTTCCGGACGACTATGTGATCACGCTCTCCGTAGCCGATGTGAGTAAGACTTTTAAGCAGGTCAACATTCACAAGGCCGAAGGGCCAGACGGATTACCAGGACGTGTACTCCGAGCATGTGCTGACCAACTGGCAAGTGTCTTCACTGACATTTTCAACATGTCCCTGACTGAGTCTGTAATACCAACATGTTTCAAGCAGACCACCATAGTCCCCGTGCCCAAGAACTCTAAGATAACCTGCCTAAATGACTACCGACCCGTGGCACTGACGTCTGTAGCCATGAAGTGCTTTGAAAGACTGGTCATGGCTCACATCAACAGCATAATCCCAGAAACCCTAGACCCACTCCAATTTGCATACCGCCCCAACAGATCCACAGATGATGCAATCTCTATCGCACTCCACACTGCCCTTTCCCACCTGGACAAGAGGAACACCTACGTGAGAATGCTATTCATTGACTACAGCTCAGCATTCAACACCATAGTGCCCTCAAAGCTCATCACTAAGCTAAGGATCCTGGGACTAAACACCTCCCTCTGCAACTGGATCCTGGACTTCCTGACGGGCCGCCCCCAGGTGGTAAGGGTAGGTAACAACACATCTGCCACACTGATCCTCAACACGGGGGCCCCTCAGGGGTGCGTGCTCAGTCCCCTCCTGTACTCTCTGTTCACCCATGACTGCATGGCCAGGCACGACTCCAACACCATCATTAAGTTTGCCGACGACACAACAGTGGTAGGCCTGATCACCGACAACGATGAGACAGCCTATAGGGAGGAGGTCAGAGATCTGGCCGTGTGGTGCCAGGACAACAACCTCTCCCTCAACGTGACCAAGACAAAGGAGATGATTGTGGACTACAGGAAAAAAAAGAGGACTGAGCACGCCCCCATTCTCATCGACGGGGCTGTAGTGGAACAGGTTGAGAGCTTCAAGTTCCTTGGTGTCCACATCACCAACGAACTATCATGGTCCAAACACACCAAGACAGTCGTGAAGAGGGCACGACAAAGCCTATTCCCCCTCAGGAGACTAAAAAGATTTGGCATGGGTCCTCAGATCCTCAAAAAATTCTACAGCTGCACCATCGAGAGCATCCTGACTGGTTGCATCACCGCCTGGTATGGCAACTGCTTGGCCTCTGACCGCAAGGCACTACAGAGGGTAGTGCGTACGGCCCAGTACATCACAGGGGCAAAGCTCCCTGCCATCCAGGACCTCTATACCAGGCGGTGTCAGAGGAAGGCCCTCAAAATTGTCAAAGACTCCAGTCACCCTAGTCATAGACTGTTCTCTCTGCTACCGCACGGCAAGCGGTACCGGAGTGCCAAGTCTAGGTCCAAAAGACTTCTCAACAGCTTCTACCCCCAAGCCATAAGACTCCTGAACAGCTAATCATGGCTACCCGGACTATTTGCACTGCCCCCCCCACCCCATACTTTTTACGCTGCTGCTACTCTGTTAAGTATTTATGCATAGTCACTTTAACTCTACCCACATGTACATATTACCTCAACTACCTCAACTAGCCGGTGCCCCCGCACATTGACTATGCAACGGTACCCCCCTGTATATATAGCCTCCCTACTGTCACTTTATTCTATTGTATATATAGCCTCCCTACTGTCACTTTATTTTTACTTCTGCTCTTTTTTTCTCAACACTTTTTTGTTGTTGTTTTATTCTTACTTTTTTTGTTTAAAATAAATGCACTGTTGGTTAAGGGCTGTAAGTAAGCATTTCACTGTAATGTCTGCACCTGTTGTATTCGGCGCATGTGACCAATAAAATTTGATTTGATTTGATTTGATTTATTTTTGAACATTTTAATTGAAAACAATTACAGTAAGGTACTTAATTGTTACCCAGAAATGATTTGATATTTGAGATCAAAAAGGCTGCATTGGACCTTTTAAAGCAAGTTTTCTGCAATTCTACACATTTTGCCATGGGGCGGAGAGAAATAAATTGCAGTTACAGCTCATTTCCTACAACATCTGTAGCCATGAAATGCTTTGAAAGGCTGGTCATGGCTCACATCAACACCATCATCCCAGACGGTGGCCAGTCAGGAGTGCATGCTTAGTCCCCTCCTGTACTCCCTGTTCACCCACCACTGCGTGGCCGCTCACAACTCCAACACCATCATTAAGTTTGCCGATGACTCAACGGTGGTAGGCCTGATCACCGACGACGATGAGACAGCCTATAGGGAGGAGGTCAGAGACCTGGCAGTGTGGTACCAGGATAACAACCTCTCCCTCAACGTCAGCAAGACAAAGGAGCTGAACGTGGACTACAGGAAACAGAAGGCCGAGCATGCCCCCATTCACATCGACGGGGCTGTGGTGGAGTGGGTCGAGAGCTTCAAGTTCCTCTGTGTCCACATCACTAAGGATCTACAGTATCATGGTCCACACACACCAATCAATTAGTGAAGAGGGACAGAAACACTTTTTCCCCTTCAGGAGGCTGAAAAGATTTGGCATGGGCCCTCAGATCACGCTGTTGTCAAGGAAGTGAGTTTGTGTTTATACAGGACCTCCCGCCCCCACCTACCGTCAACCAATCATGTCAATACGGAGCCCTCCGCATTGTTACCAAATTTGGGATGTGGTATGGAGCTCAATTTGGCCTCTACATTCCTCCGGCGGCCCCGTGTCACACCTTCCATACCACATTTTCAGATCAAGCATAAATTAGCTTTGGCCTCTGTGTGCCTCCCGAGGCTCCGCAATTACTTCACACCCTCCATACGGAGCCTCCAACCACATTATCGGATGAAGCATAAATTGTCTTTTAGTCTCGCAATGTTGCACCTCTGGGTTTAGAAACTCTGTGATTCTAGCTAGTGAGAGTAAAGATATACAATGCCTTCAGAAAGAATTCACACCACTTGACTTTTACAAATTAATTAAAAACAAAAAGCTGAAATGTCTTGAGTCAATAAGTATTCAACCCCTTTGTTATGGCAAGCCTAAATAAGTTCAGGAGTAAAAATGTACTTAACAAATCACATAATAAGTTGCATGGACTCACACTGTGTGCAATAATAGTGTTTAACATGATTTTTGAATGACTACATCATTTATATACCCCACACATACAATTATCTGTAAGGTCCCTCAGTCAAGCAGTGAATTTCAAACACAGATTCAATCACATAGACCGGGGAGGTTTTCCAATGCCTCGCAAAGAAGGGCACCTATTGGTAGATGGGTAAAACATTTAAAAAGCAGACATTGAATATCCCTTTGAGCATGGTGAAGTTATTAATTACACTTTAGATGGTGTATCAATACACAGAGTGACTACAAAGATACAGGCGTCCTTCCTAGCTTAGTTGCCGGAGAGGAGGGAAACCGCTCAGGGATTTCACCATGAGGCCAATGGTGACTTTAAAACAGTTACAGAGTTTAATGGCTGTGATAGGAGAAAACTGAAGATGGGTCAACAACATTGTAGTTACTCCACAATACTAACCTAATTTACAGAGTGAAAAAAAACTAAGCCTGTACAGAATAAGAAATATTCCAAAACATGCATCCTGTTTGCAACAAGGCACTAAAGTAATACTGCAAAAAATTTAGCAAAGCAATTAACTTTTTGACCTGAATACAAAGTGTTATATTTGGGGCAAATACAATAAAACATATTACTGAGTACCACTCTCCATATTTTCAAGCATAGTGGTGGCTGCATCATGTTATGGGTATGCTTGTCATCATTAAAGACTGGGTGTTTTTCATGATAAAAAAGAAACGGAATGGAGCTAAGGACAGGGAAAATCCCAGAGGGAAACCTGGTTCAGTCTGCTTTCCCATCAGACACTGGGAGATACATTCACCTTTCAGCAGGACAATAACCTAAAACACAAGGCCAAATCTACACTGGAGTTGCTTACTAAATATACTTGAATATTCCTGAGACTTGAATATTCCTGGCTGTGTTACAGTTTTTTAATTAAATCTACTTGAAAATCAATGGCTATACCTGAAAATGGTTGTGTAGCAATGATCAACAACCAATTTGACAGAGCTTGAAAATGTTTGAAAAGAATAATGGGCAAATGTTGCACAATCCAGGTGTGGAAAGCCCTCGAGAGACTTACCCAGAAAGACAAACAGCTGTAATCGCTGCCAAAGATGCTTCTAGGAGGTATTGACTCAGGGGTGTGAATACTTATGTAAATTAGATATGTATTTATTTCATTTTCAACAAATTTGCTAACATTTCTAAAAACATGTTTTCACTTTGTCATTATGGGGTATTGTGTGTTGATGGGCGAGGAACAAAATATATTTAATCCATTTTGAATTCAGGCTGTAACACAACAAAATGTGGAAAAAGTCAAGTTGACGAAATGCCACGTGCGTCCACGAATATCAATGTATTCGTAACAACCTAACCATTACGAAACGTCTATTCGATCAAATAAGCCGCACGTAGCAAATAAGCAATTACATTTTTTGTTGACCAAATTCTCTCATTGACCTCCATAGAAAAATTCCTCACTTCGCAGTCTTGTTTTCGTGGACAGATTTTGGGCAGAGTAAACCCTCTCGCTTCGCGTCTTCCTCTCAGTTGCGAATTAGCTGATCAGGAACTCACCAAACTGTAGTAAGCGTGACAGTACGATGGGAATTGGCTTCATCAAATCGAGTTTTGCCATGTTTGTGATGATAAGAAAATCACGAAGAGCCCCTGTATTCTTCGCTTTTTGTAATTCAGTCCTGCTCGGAGTCGACAAATAATAGATTCGTGGACGTAGGAAAAGGGGTATGTTTAACGTTTTCTTCTGTAGCTTATTGATTAGCTAGATACATCTTTAAATTCCTTTCCCTTTCCGGCATGCAACTATTTGCTGCCTTGCTAGCAGATTCATTGTATTTCTTTATTTCACCTTTATTTAACCTGGTAAACCAGTTGAGAACAAGTTCTCATTTACAACTGCGACCTGGCCAAGATAAAGCAAACAGTGCGATAAAAACAACAACAACACAGAGTTACATATGGAATAAACAAAACGTACAGTCAATAACGCAATAGAAAATGTATATACAGTGTGTGCAAATGTAGTAAGTTATGGAGGTAAGGCAATAAATAGGCCATAGTATTAACACTGGAGTGATATATGTGCAGAAGATGTGCAAATAGATAATTTGCGAATCAAAGTAAAAAGAAGGCAAATGCTACAATGGGAATGTGATGGTCAGTTTAGCTCGAACTTCATGGTTGGTGGTGATGACATATTTGATGTTTTTTCATTATTTGATGTTTTCCCATATTTAACCATTAAAATGATATTACCATAATATGAGTAATCGCACAAGCAAAAACACTGGGAAATGTGGGAAGAATAGTATTGTTCGTCAAGTGTGTTTGACCATGCTGCAGTCAACAAAAATATAGACTAACTAGCAATATGTTTATCTTCATTCTGCATTTCAAATAGTCCTCATGGTGCTTTTGAATTCCCTGTCTGTTTAGGTGCACGTTACAGTAATGTCCTCCCCTCTCGTGCCATATGCTCCAGAACGGAACAGTTCCTAGAAAGCAGACAATCTAATGTTAGACAGAGGCCCCCAGTCATAGGTATTTACATGGTATGTAGTTAGCTGATGGTCTCGAAAACCCAATCTTAGATAGCTGCAGGGTCTTGAAAAAACGGAGCCAGACCTTGCTCAGCTGATTACCCAATTTTCTTTAACTGCCACCTAACCTCACATGAGTGCATTCATTATGTGATGCTTCATTTTCAGGCTGTAGACTAGAGGTTAGAAGTACTGAAAACGGGATGGTTTGTTACTGTCTAGACACTGGAAGCAATCTTTAAGCTGTCAGTCTAATCCTGCCTTGCTTTGATTGTGCTAAAATGCTTTTGCTTTACAAAATGGGTTCTTATATTGCTAAGCCTACTTAATGATGAACACTGAAACACACATGTAATCACCAATTGTGACTGTCTGTTGGTCCTTGTCATAGATGCTGATTCAGAAGGGTTGGGTTAAACGAGGAAGACACATTTCAGTTGAATGCATTCAGTTGTACAACTGACTAGGTATCCCCTTTCCCTTCCTTCCTATTTGGCTCCTGGATGTGGACACTGAAAATACACTGTAAATTCTTTCTCTGGCTTTGTTTGCAGTGTCGAGCATTGAGGTGCAGGCCAGTGCAGTGCAGGAATGGATCCTCTGGGAGCACGCTCTCAGTTTGTGGAGGTCCAGACTCTGTCCACCTGGGAGCGGCAGCCGGACCCTGAGGGAGAGGAGACAGAGAAGGAGTACAACGACAGCCTGGTCAGCCAGCAGGCCTTCCCATCCCCCTTCCCCTACAGAGAGGACATCAACAGGAAAATAGTGCTCTAGTGAGTCACACACACTGGACCTCTATCTCTAATACCACTTCTCTATCTATTGGTCTCTCTCTTTTGGTCTCTTGCTTTCTCTTTTTTTTTTCTCTATCTCTCTCCTTTTCTCTCACAATCATAATGGTCAAACTCATATCAAATGCCTTTGTTGACGGCTAAAAGGTCTCTCAAGGTGTAGCCCTGGCTTCTTGTGCCTTGTTATCCTGTTCTTGCTCCTTGCACCACTGTGGATCACCCCCTTCCTTAAACACAATCTTGCTCGCTCTCTCTCTCCCCTCCCCTCCCTCATTCTAGGCGCTACCTCATAAATCCTCTTTGTTGTGGAGGCTGAGCACATGATGTGTTCAGAAGTTCCACTGGTAGGAGTCTCTCAGTAAGACATTTGTATCCAGGCTGCCCCAAGCCCTCCTCACATTCCTGCTGCAGTTAAAGGAAGAGACATCTGGACTGAACTTGGGCCTTTTTACACAGGTCTTAGGAAAAGCACTTTTCTGCTCCTGTTTTGTCAAATTTTCAGGAGTTGACACTGTGTCTTGTTTGACCAAGGATCAACAAGGATCACGACAAGTGTCACTTGGTTAAAACGTTAAAGGTCAACTGCCCTTGAAAACCAACTTCTCCTTTTGAAAATGGCCTATGTGGCATCAATATGAGTCAGAAACATTTATTCTAGTGTCAAAATTGACTACAAAGTGTAAATAGAATAATTTTGGTCATTAAGTCACTCGTCCAAAACAGTGTTTGGTAAGTGACTGTGTCATTACTTACTTGAGGGTTTGGTTTGGATTACAACTATGTAAAAAATGAATGCCCCCTTTTGCCTATTAACATGTGGTGGCAATTTTTTTCTGGGAAAAGACTGGGCGAGTTCTCTTTGCATGGCCCAGTGCCCTGGGTGGGCGAAGACGTCTCCTTAGGAGGACCAATTTAATAGTAAAAAATTAGCAACCCCGCCCACCCGATGCAAAACAAATTTCCCAGACAACACGGTGTAGCTTTGGCAGTAGCTTGATGTGCACTGCACATATTGATCGGGAATTGTCTACTCTAGTGAAAATGGGCTTCCGTAAAGTTGTTCAACAATCAGATGGCCAGGATATGGATTACATCCAACGCTAGCTACAAGTACTGCGGGCTGTCAAACGTGAGACAGTGCCAGGTGTTGTTGCTGATAGTGAGTTGGTTACACTAGCTACATTATTTGATAATGCTAGCGAGTAGCAAGGTGTTGTTGAACGAGTGTCACATAACACATTCCAGACACTGGTTCTTACTATCTTGGCATAACCGTGATTTGACAGAGAAATATCAGCTAGCTAACATTAGATAGGCTAGCCAGTTGCAGCTAGCTATCCCCTAAGCTATGCTAACTAGCTGCTGTCAGCTTGGCTAAACACAAGGTCAGTGCAGGCTTTACTTTCTATTCGCCTTTTTCTCTCTACTTTAGCCCACAAATAGTCAGAATTAGCCCTTGTTTGTTGTGATTGAATGGCAAAGACACCCCAAAAAAAAAGACACCCCGAAGACAACTCTCGTTTGCCTTCAGTCATGGCCACTAGCATTTTTAATGAGCATTGATGAAAAATGAGGCCAGATCAGGAAGTGCAGTTCTCCTTTAACCACAAGTGTGTACAACAAGCCTAAGATATTTAGCTTGTTCACATCCAACCTTTTTGAGGTAGCACTGCAGTAATTTGCCAAGATAGTGAGGACAAAATTATGATTTTTCCATTGCCTGTTTTGCTACCACAAGCATTTTTGTGAAGTGAAACAGACGTGTGTCACCGTAAACTTGATCGTGCTTGTGCTTTACTATTTCACAGTTAATATGAATACATACACCTAAATAGCTCAGCTGCCTACTGATCTGTACTCCAAAGTAAAGGTTTTTGTAATTTCATTATTTTTCATAGTCATTGAGAAAAAGTCTCTCCAATCTAGTTCCTGGAGAGCTACCCTCCTGTAGGTTCTCGCTCCAGCCCCAGTTTTAACTAACCTGATTCATCTTATCAACCAGCTAATTATTAGAATCAGGTGCGCTAGATTAGGGTTGGAGCGAAAACCTACAGGACGGTAGCTCTTCAGCAACAGGGTTGGAGAGCCCTGCCTTAGGATGTCATATGACTCAGTACCATCACGCTGCTTGAGTAGTTCCCCTTTTACAGTTGGACAAAGCCCCATGGGCAGGATCCTAACTTTAAACACACATGTAGGCTAACTTAAACTGTTGCGTTTACACAGGCAGACCAATTCATATTTTTTAAAACTAATTGGTCTTTTTACCAATCAGATCAGCTCTGAAAAATATCTGATGTGAAAAGATCTGATGTGATTGGTCAAAAGACCAATTTGTGGGAAAACATATCAGAATTGGGCTGCCTGTGTAAACGCAGCCATTGATGTATTTATTTAGTATTTATTTGGATCCCAATTAGCTGCTGCCAAGGGAGCGGCTACTCTTCCTGGGGTCCTAACAGGAATAAAGCAATACATCATTATAAAACAATAGCCTACATCCTAAATAAAACAATACATTATACAAGACATTGTGCCGTATACGTTTACATTGTTCCAATATTACACATTTACACAATATAAAAAGTACAATATTACAATGTGTGTAGAGTGTGTTGGAGTGTGTGTGTGTGTGTGTGTCTCTTCACAGTCCGTTAATTAACATACACACATTTAGCATCTCCTGGCTTCCATGCATAGCCTACAAGCCACTGATGCAGACCTTTGGAACATCTACATTTAAAAAAGTCTAATAATTCCATGTAATATAGCCTACACTATCACAATAAATCCATTATTTATTTTAGACAGGTATAAAGAAACATGGTATGAAGAAAATGTGGTCTATTTCTGAAGAACAGAATAGCATACTCTGAGTAATGTTAGGTCCTGATCTGGCTATGCCATATGGCTGTGGGCTACACTAGTTCATTTTGCAGACAAGATTTGCTTAGAATTCCGTGGCATTATTTTATATAATTTTATAGGATGAAGAATACAATTGAACATAGCTAAATAGTAAGGATATTTTCTCCAAACGATTTGAGGGAGTGTGCATTCTGTGTTGTGCAGTTAACAAAGAAACAGGTACTTCTATATGCTTAATTTAGAGTTATTTATGTAACTTTAGTTGTGATACAAACTTAGGGCTATATGTTTTGATTTTTAATACATTCTAAGGCTGCATGATGCGACTCCGATGACGCTACAAGGTTTATATAAGGTCCCACAGTTGACAGTGCATGTCAGAGCAAAAACCAAGCCATGAGGTCGAAGGAATTGTCCGTAGAGCTCCGAGACAGGATTGTGTCGAAGCACAGATCTGGGGAAGGGTACCAAGAAATGTCTGCAGCATCAGGGCCTTGGTCAGGGAGGTGACTAAGAACCCGATGGTCACTCTGACAGAGCTCCAGAGTTCCTCTGTGAAGATGGGTTGAACTTTTCAGAAAGACAACCATCTCTGCAGCGCTCCACCAATCAGGCCTTTATGGAAACTCCCCAAATAGAGGTGTGCCAAGCTTGTAGCGTCATACCCAAGAAGACTCGAGGCTGTAATCGCTGCCAAAGGTGCTTCAACAAAGTACTGAATAAAGGGTCTGAATACTTATGTAAATGTGATATTTCTAAAAACCTGTTTTTGCTTTGTCATTATGAGGTATTGTGTGTAGATTGATGATGGGGGGAAAACAATTTAATCTATTTTAGAATAAGGCTGTAACGTAACAAAATGTGGAAAAAGTCAAGGGGTCTGAATACTTTCCGAATGCGCTGTATATTTTGGAAATGAAGGCATAGATACAGTCTTAAAAAAAATAAGTATTTAAAAGGTATCAGAAATACATCCAAACACAATGTTGATGTAAAGACAGCTACCAACTAATATCAACACTTATATTTAGTTTTGGAGAAATTGTTTACCTTCTGTAAGTTTATGAAACATTGCCCTGTAATTCCATTACCAAAACCCCACATATTTTAAAGCGGCAATCAACAGTTAAGGGCGGCAGGTAGCTTAGTGGTTAAGAGCGTTGTGCCAGTAACCGAAAGGTCGCTGGTTCTAATCCCCGAGCCAACTAGGTGAAAAATCTGTCGATGTGCCCTTGAGCAAGGCACTTAACCCTAATTGCTCCTGTAAGTCGCTCTGGATAAGAGCGTCTGCTAAATAATGTAAATGTAAATGTAAACAATAACAAAGCCCCCTCCCCACCCATGTTTCAGTAAAAAGCTGAGGGATGGGGCTGGAAAAATTTAACCACTCTTTTTTTTATTTTTTTTATTTCACCTTTATTTAACCAGGTAAACCAGTTGAGAACAAGTTCTCATTTACAACTGCGACCTGGCCAAGATAAAGCAAAGCAGTGCGATAAAAACAACAACACAGAGTTACATATGGGGTAAAACAAAACAAAGTCAAAAATACAACAGAAATACATATATATACAGTGTGTGCAAATGTAGCAAGTTATGGAGGTAAGGCAATAAATAGGCTATAGTGCAAAATAATTACAATTAGTATTAACACTGGAATGATAGATGTGCAAGAGATGATGTGCAAATAGAGATACTGGGGTACAAATGAGCAAAATAAATAACAATATAGGGATGAGGTAGTTGGGCGGGCTAATTTCAGATGGGCTGTGTACAGGTGCAGTGATCGGTAAGGTGCTCTGACAACTGATGCTTAAAGTTAATGAGGGAGATAAGTGTCTCCAGCTTCAGAGATTTTTGCAATTTGTTCCAGTCATTGGCACTCTCCAATTCATAGACCGAGCTATGCATGCAAGGACTGACCATCCATGACATCAAAATTATATTTTTCACCATGTTTTGAGGCTATATAGTGTTTGTTTACATGTGCTTTGTTTGCAAACATTGGAGTAAAAAAAACGTATATTTTGGGTTTTGATGAGGTACGACAGTTGAACTAAGCTCATGAAGCATTTATAAGTTATATTCTTCAAGAATCAATGGATACATATAATTAAAGTACAAAAATGGATGTAACAAATGCAGATTTCCCCTTTTAATATATTTTCGAATTTCTCTCCCTCATGAGGAAGGAGGAGAGTGAAAGTTCACAGAAGTAACAAGTAATGGTATACCTACCAATTCGGTATAGTGATTTTACTAGCTAGGTTTCAATCCAATTTGCGACAGATTTTCATGCGAATATTCTCAAATCTGCCTAAAACAATATGCACATTATCCCAACAGAGATGTTTCCATCAAACTGACTTTTTGCGGATAAAAGGCTGGGCTTGATGACATAGTGCACATAAAAATATGTTTTGCCGTTAAATGTCCATGTACCGAATGTAAATGGTTTCCATTGCATTTTCAACTCTACTGATGGTTCTGTCACAAACTGTTGCGTTATATTGCAAATGTGCCTACTCTGGTCTTGGCACATGCGCTCTAGCCAACATCTCACAGATACAGTGCGGGTAGACTCCCTACATTATGAGATTATTAATGGATAAGAGCGATGTTGATGTAAATGTTTCAGTGGAAATTGTTCAAAGTAGTCCTTGTCCATAGTTAAACTTTGAAATCAATGTTTTTTGTTTGGCATACATTTTAAAGTGAAAAAAAGTAAAAGCGTAATTCCGTTAACGTGGGATTGCCCAAAGCCATAACACATACGTTTTTCCAGCAGCAGATTGTGTTTCGATAATGTCAAAAGCTGCACTGAAGTCTAACAAAACAGCTCCCACAATCTTCTTATCAATTTATTTTATCTATCTTCTTATTACCAATCATCAGTCATTTGTGTCAGTGCCGTACATGTTTAGTGCCGACCATAAGTGTGCTGAAAGTCTGTTGTTAATTTGTTTACTGTGAAATAGCATTGTATCTGACCAAACCCTTTTTCCAAAAGTTTACTAAGGGTTGGTAGCAGGCTGATTGGTCGGCTGTTTGAACCAGTAAAGAGTGATTTGCTATTCTTGGGTAGCGGCATTTTTAAGCCAATTTCCTGCAATTCTACACATTTCTCCATGGAGCTGAGAGAAATTGTTGCAGTTTTAAAGCACATTTGCTGCAATTTTACACATTTTGCCATGATGTGAGAAAATGTTGCAGTTTTAAAGCTAATTTCTATGCATTTTGCAATGGCTAATGCTGTGTTCTTTTGCTCAAACATATATTATTATTTTTGGGATGAATATTAGTTCTCAAAGATTAAGTTATAAAGAATATGTCCATTATCTTTTCTACATACTTTGTATCTGGTTTTAGAGGTTTAAGTTCACACTGAAAGCCATCCCTAAAATGTATTAAAGAAATAAAATACAAATAATGGATGTGTGTGTGTGTGTGTGTGTGTGTGTGTGTGTGTGTGTATTATTATTTTATTATATACTTTTTTTTTTACACTGTTTGGAAATAGGCAACCCTAAAAAGGAATAGACGGCCCACCTAAGGATTTCAATTCCAGAAGAATCCTTGGACAGCAATCTTTTCACCACATTTCTTCCACATTCACTTTATAGAACTAAAAATTACAATGCTTGTCTTTCATTATTTGGTCAGTTATGCATGGATATGAAGGTTCAGAGTTTGTTGTTGGCATGTCATGCCTACGTTTGCCAATCTTGCCAATGAAAAAGTAATTCAAGTAGTTGGCAATATCAGAGGGAATATGGATCTAAGTTTGCCTTTTTGCCCAAAATTGAATTGAAGGTACTCCAAAGCATTCATTCTTTATATAATTTATATTTGTTTCATAGTACAGTTTCTTCTTCTTTTTGATGTCAAGGGGAGATATGAGTTGGAGCTTGAGTATGGCCAATACAGAGTTAAAATATCTGACCCTCTTTCTTTCTGCTGTCATCAGTAATGGCGACGTTGCCCTGCTGAACTGCACAGCGATCGTCAACACAACTAATGAGACTCTGACGGACAAGAACCCTATATCTGAGAGCATCCACACACATGCTGGGCCTGAACTTCGAGACGAGCTGCTCAAACTGAAAGGTAGGGGGCACCACTGACTAATTAGGTTAATGACAACATGTCTGGTTCACACTCGGATGAGGTACTATCTCAACTTGATCAATCAGAATGTTTATAACTAAAACTTATGTTGGTTTGTGTCTACTGAACATGACCTTGTGTTAAGCTGGTAAAGTGAATGTCATGCGTTAACATCATGTGAGCACTGTGGAGACAAACACAGTACTGACAGGTTTCTATACAAATGCACATTTTAGAACAGGAAAAAGGGTTGGTTCGTGTCCATTGGGTCTTGTTGCTATGTAAATCCCCTTCAAGGCTGTGTTCAAGGTGAAGAATGTTCTCTTTGTGTGTTCTATGTGGGATCTTGATATACTCTTGTATTACCGGTATGTATGTGTTTATCCACAGGATGTCGGACAGGCGAGGCGAAGATGACCAAAGGCTTTAACCTGGCGGCCCGCTTTATAATCCACACGGTGGGCCCCAAGTACAAAACCAAGTACAGGACGGCTGCTGAGAGTTCTCTGTACAACTGCTATAGGAACGTCATGCAGCTCGCCAAGTAAGACATTAAAGATGCACTATACAGAAATCGCTCCGCCATTTCCAGGTTGCAAAAATTCTAATAGTTTGCCTAATTTCAGTTTGTTACAAAACAAGCTAGTATAGTGTAGAGAATCATTGTACCATCTAAACTGCTGTGAAATATATTTTCCATAACCAAAAATCTTGTATTTTCAGCTGTTTGAAGCTGGTGTACAAAACCGAAAGTACGATGCAAAAACAAAACTTAAGAATGGGAAGCATAGAAATGGCGCACATAGAACAGATCTAACACTACTTAGACTTGCTTTCATTTTACATTTTTTAAAACATTTTAGTCATTTTAGCAGACGCTCTTATCCAGAGCGACTTACAGTTAGTGAGTGCATACATTTTCTATACTTTCAAGGGGAATTACAGATCTATAACACACTTTTCTATGTGAATTTGTTCAGGTCGCCCAAAAAGTTACATATTGCAGCTTTATCTCATTAGTCTACATCAGTTTGACTGTACTGCATAAGTACAACATATTGTTCCCTCTCGTGTTCATTTGGCTAACTGGGACGGCAGACATGTTGATTTAGATCACAGAGCTTGTTTACATAGGAGAGAAGTGTTCTCTCCCCACAATACCACACAGGTCTGTGTGTAGCGTGAGGTGCTCCCTTACTGCCTCATGCTTCTCAGTTAAATGAAATCAAATCACTTTTTTTTGTCACATGCGCTGAATACACCTTACTGTGAAATTCTTACTTACAAACCCAACAATGCAAAAAAGAAAGTTTAAGTAAGAAAATATTTGATACTTTTACATTTTGTAATATATATTTTTTAAATAACAATAACGCAGCTGTATACAGGGGGTACTGAGTCAATGTGCGGGGGTACAGGCTAGGTGAGGTAATATGTACATAAACCTCTTTACTCTGTTTGTGGTGTGTACTGCACTGTCAATTGAATGTGGTTTGTGGTGAGGGTACTGTTAGTATGTTATTGTGTGAGCTGTTGTTTGTGTGTCTCTGCAGAGAGCAGGCCATGGCGTCTGTGGCCCTCTGTGTGGTCAGCACAACCAAGAGAGGATACCCACTGGAGGACGCCACACACATTGCCTTCAGTAAGACTCGCACACACTCACACGCACAGCACACACTCACATGCACAGCACGCACAGCACACATTCACACGCACAGCACACACTCACACGCACAGACATTTTACATTTACATTTTAGTCATTTAGCAGACGCTCTTATCCAGAGCGACTTACAGGAGCAATTAGGGTTAAGTGCCTTGCTCAAGGGCACATTTACGTCATTTAGCAGACGCTCTTATCCAGAGCGACTTACAAATTGGTGCAATCACCCTATAGCCAGTGGGATAACCACTTTACACTTTTTTTTTTTTTTTTTTTTTTTGGGGGGGGGGGGGGGGTAGAAGGATTACTTTATCCTATCCCAGGTGTTCCTTAAAGAGGTGGGGTTTCAAATGTCTCCGGAAGGTGGTGAGTGACTCCGCTGTCCTGGCGTCGTGAGGGAGCTTGTTCCACCATTGGGGTGCCAGAGCAGCGAACAGTTTTGACTGGGCTGAGCGGGAACTATGCTTCCGCAGAGGAAGGGGCGCCAGCAGGCCAGAGGTGGATGAACGCAATGCCCTCGTTTGGGTGTAGGGACTGATCAGAGCCCGAAGGTACGGAGGTGCCGTTCCCCTCACTGCTCCATAGGCACGCACCATGGTCTTGTAACGGATGCGAGCTTCAACTGGAAGCCAGTGGAGTGTGCGGAGGAGGGGGGTGACGTGAGAGAACTTGGGAAGGTTGAACACCAGACGGGCTGCGGCATTCTGGATGAGTTGTAGGGGTTTAATGGCACAGGCAGGGAGGCCAGCCAACAGCGAGTTGCAGTAATCCAGACGGGAGATGACAAGTGCCTGGATTAGGACCTGTGCCGCTTCCTGTGTAAGGCAGGGTCGTACTCTCCGAATGTTGTAGAGCATGAACCTGCAGGATCGGGTCACCGCCTTGATGTTAGCAGAGAACGACAGGGTGTTGTCCAGGGTCACGCCAAGGCTCTTCGCACTCTGGGAGGAGGACACAACGGAGTTGTCAACCGTGATGGCGAGATCATGGAACGGGCAGTCCTTCCCCGGGAGGAAGAGCAGCTCCGTCTTGCCAGGGTTCAGCTTGAGGTGGTGATCCGTCATCCATACTGATATGTCTGCCAGACATGCAGAGATGCGATTCACCACCTGGTTATCAGAAGGGGGAAAGGAGAAGATTAGTTGTGTATCGTCAGCGTAGCAATGATAGGAGAGGCCATGTGAGGATATGACAGAGCCAAGTGACTTGGTGTATAGGGAGAATAGGAGAGGGCCTAGAACTGAGCCCTAGGGGACACCAGTGGTGAGAGCACGTGGTGCGGAGACAGCTTCTCGCCACGCCACTTGGTAGGAGCGACCGGTCAGGTAGGACTCAATCCAGGAGTGAGCCGCGCCGGAGATGCCCAGCTCGGAGAGGGTGGAGAGGAGGATCTGATGGTTCACAGTATCAAAGGCAGCAGACAGGTCTAGAAGGACAAGAGCAGAGGAGAGAGAGTTAGCTTTAGCAGTGCGGAGAGCCTCCGTGACACAGAGAAGAGCAGTCTCAGTTGAATGACCAGTCCTGAAACCTGACTGGTTTGGATCAAGAAGGTCATTCTGAGAGAGATAGCAAGAGAGTTGGCTAAAGACGGCACGCTCAATAGTTTTGGAAAGAAAAGAAAGAAGGGATACTGGTCTGTAGTTGTTGACATCAGTGGGATCGAGTGTTGGTTTTTTGAGAAGGGGTGCAACTCTCGCTCTCTTGAAGACGGAAGGGACATGGCCAGCGGTCAAGGATGAGTTGATCAGCGAGGTGAGGTAGGGGAGAAGGTCACCGGAGATGGTCTGGAGAAGAGAGGAGGGGATGGGGTCAAGCGGGCAGGTTGTTGGGCGGCCTGCAGTCACAAGTCGCAGGATTTTATCTGGAGAGAGAGGGGAGAAAGAAGTCAAAGCATAGGGTAGGGCAGTGAGAGTAGGACCAGCAGTGTCATTAGACTTAACAAACGAGGATCGGATGTCGTCAACCTTCTTTTCAAAGTGGTTGACGAAGTCATCCACAGAGAGAGAGGGGGGGGAGGGGGGGAGGGGGGGAGGGGGGGAGGGGGGGAGGGGGGGGGGGGGGGGGGGGGGGGGAGGATTCAGGAGGGAGGAAAATGTGGCAAAGAGCTTCCTAGGGTTAGAGGCAGATGCTTGGAATTTAGAGTGGTAGAAAGTGGCCTTAGCAGCAGAAACAGATGAAGAAAATGTAGAGAGGAGGGAGTGAAAAGATGCCAGGTCGGCAGGGAGTTTAGTTTTCTTCCATTTCCGCTCCGCTGCCCGGAGCTCTGTTCTGTGAGCTCGCAATGAGTCATCAAGCCACGGAGCTGGAGGGGAGGACCGAGCCGGCCGGGAGGATAGGGGACACAGAGAGTCAAAGGATGCAGAAAGGGAGGAGAGGAGGGTTGAGGAGGCAGAATCAGGAGATTGGAGGGAGAAGGATTGAGCAGAGGGAAGAGATGATAGGATGGAAGAGGAGAGAGTAGTGGGAGAGAGAGAGCGAAGGTTGCGGCGGCGCATTACCATCTGTGTAGGGGCAGAGTGAGTAGTGTTGGAGGAGAGCGAGAGAGAAAAGGAAACAAAGTAGTGGTCGGAGACATGGAGGGGAGTTGCAGTGAGATTAGTAGAAGAGCAGCATCTAGTAAAGATGAGGTCAAGCGTATTGCCTGCCTTGTGAGTAGGGGGGGGGACGGTGAGAGGGTGAGGTCAAAAGAGGAGAGGAGTGGAAAGATGGAGGCAGAGAGAAATGAGTCAAATGTGGACGTAGGGAGGTTGAAATCCCCCAAAACTGTGAGGGGTGAGCCATCCTCAGGAAAGGAACTTATCAAGGCGTCAAGCTCATTGATGAACTCTCCAAGGGAACCTGGAGGGCGATAGATGACAAGGATATTAAGCTTAAATGGGCTAGTGACTGTGACAGCATGGAATTCAAATGAGGAGATAGACAGATGGGTTAGGGGAAAAATTGAGAATGTCCACTTGGGAGAGATGAGGATTCCTGTGCCACCACCCCTCTGACCAGATGCTCTCGGGGTATGCGAGAACACATGGTCAGACGAGGAGAGAGCAGTAGGAGTAGCAGTGTTTTCAGTGGTAATCCATGTTTCCGTCAGCGCCAGGAAGTCGAGGGACTGGAGGTTAGCATAGGCTGGGATGAAGTCAGCTTTGTTGGCAGCAGAACGGCAGTTCCAGAAGCTGCCTGAGACCTGGAACTCCAGGTGTGGGGTGCGTGCAGGGACCACCAGGTTAGAGAGGCAGCAGCCACGCGGTGTGAGGCGTTTGTGTAGCCTGTGCAGAGAGGAGAGAACAGGGATAGGCAGAGGCATAGTTGACAGGCTGTAGCAAATGGCTACAACAATGCAGAGGAGATCGGAATGAAATGAACTAAACATCTGGGAGAGGAGAGAGCAGGGCCTCCCTCACCAAAACTTCCACCTCAGAAACTATAATTGTTTCACTGAACCACCCAAACAAAAACTCTCCCAACTTCCACCTTTAGAAATCAGAATTGTTGTGAACCACAGCGGTTCAATGTTTCAAGGAATGGACTCAACCCACTTTATTCAGCTAGCTAACTATGACACCATAGCTAACTAGCATGCTAGCATCCAATAACACACAGTTTAGCACCAATACTTGGTTACAACAAACCACCAATAGTGTGTTAACACACTAAACGGATAATTCGTGTCCGTGTCTAGCACAGCACACACTCACACGCACAGCACACATTCACTAAGTTAATGATCTCTTATACATTAGTGTACAGTACACTGTCACAATTTTATGTAGTTAACATGTGGCTGACAACTATTTACACTGGCATGATGTTCAATAACTCATCCATGACCCCTGACCTATGTGAAACGTATGACTGTGTGTCTGCAATAATAATAATTGATTGCATTTATATAGCACCTTTACACCTACAGTAGGTGTTCAAAGCGTTTTACATTGTAAGGGGGGAAACTCACCTCTCCCACCACCTATGTGTAGCACCCACTTGGGTGATGCACAGCAACCATTTTCTGCCAGAACGCTCACTACACATCAGCTAGCATATCTGTTGTCTGTTACAGTGTGTATAACTGTGTGTGTGTGTTTGCAGGAACGGTCCGCAGGTTTCTGGAGAACTATGGAGAGAGCATAGAGACAGTGGTGTTCGCTGTGACAGACATGGAAGAGGTGGGTTCGTCTTTTCTCTTCTGCACGATCATGAGTTCCTATGACGTGTACACATGCTTAGGTTTACATGCACATAACTGCACTGGCTTATTCTAAGTACAACATAAATGTTTTCTGGCATGAAATTGAACCTAAGGGGAATGTTTGGAGTATGAAATAAATAATAAGCTGTGTTTCGAAGGCGAAGTTTCCATGTTTTTTGGTGATTACTCACTCATTTGTTCTTCATAGAGAATATGAAATATTTCAAATATAACATGAATGTTCCAGTTTGAGGTAATTATTAATGTCTAAGATGGCAAACACACAAACCATGTATTTCACCGATACGGGGAAAAATGCACAAAGTGATTGGAAACTGAGTATGTGTGTGAAGGTTTTTGTGTTAGAAAGCATGCGTGTGTGTGTGGCATCTTATATCTCTGTGGTTAACACAGTTTTGTGTGTGTGTCTCAGCCCACATACAGGAAGCTACTTCCTCTCTACTACCCTCGTTCTGAGGAAGAGGAGCATGCCAGCCTGCCCCTAATCCCGGCCGACATCGGGAACTCAGAAGGCGAGCCTGTAGTCCCAGAGAGACAGATCCGCATCGCTGAGAAACCAGGCTGTCTGGAAGGTAAGACTACATTTCCCACAACCTCCTAGATGTGTGGCTTCAATATGGTTACCATAGCAACAACCTCAGGGCCTGAAACTAACTTTTTGGTCTAACAGCCACTGTAGCAGGTAGATAAAAAAAAAAAAATCGCCATAATTACACCATAAACAAAAAACGGATGAGCATTCTTTGTAATGTTTCTAAAGCAATAAATGTATTACTAGTAAGAAGTGATCTGATATATAGCAACATTTTAACCAAAATATCACAGATGAGACAAATGTTCAGCTGCCCTTTTTAAGGGCAGGAGGTTACCGTGGCAATGACGGCACTGGGGCAGCTGGAGTTGTCAGTGACAGTGTGCCTATGAGATATGAGAATCTGACTAGTAGCTGATGTGTCTTCGCTGAAGCATACTCAAACATTGAAAAACAATCTAGCTTGTGAACAAAACATTGTAAATAGCCAAGAAACACAAGGAAAAAATGCTCACTTTAGTAGACTTTCAGAAAAATGAATCTTCACTTCAATCACAGTGCGCACAGCTCCCCAGCCAGGCAGTGTTGATGCGCGTTGCGCGAGGTAGGATATATATATATAATAGGATTCGTAGGTCTTTGTGTGTCAAAAAGACAAACACTTAAAAAACAGGTACTGTATAATTTATTTAGCTCTAAATGTGCTCATACTTGACTTCTAACTCTATTTTTATTTGCAAATGTGAGTGAAATGCACTTGCACTGTTGAACCCTGACCACCTGCTGGTGAAATTGACATCTTACCCGCCAATTGCAAAATCTACCCGCATTTGGCGGGTGTTAATTTTAGGCCCTGAACAACCTCCATTCCATGTAGGTGATGCATTGTATGAATACATGGTGATGATAGACCGGCCGCCACCAGCAGTCCTTCATCTCTAAGCAGCAGCTGTATTTCCTGGAGTCTGAACAGCACAATTCTGGCCGGTACTGCCTGGTTTAAAACCAGGTTGTTTGTACCCATGGAGACGCACTCAGTGGACATGGGAGAAGAATGCAGGATGATCTTTCATAGTCGAGTCAGTGTAACATCTCAGTCGTACCCCCGGCCAGTGGTGGGACACTCACCCACACACACACTACACACAGACAGACATAGTGATGGATCTTACATCAGTGTGGAAGGCATTAGGAGCCGTCTAACTGTTAAATGAACCATGTCTTCCTGTTGGTTCATCTTTTCCACTGAGCGCTGCCCTGACAGGTGCACTGATGGCAGAGAGGAGGATGTACAGGTAACTGAATAAATAATGGAAACACTTGAGTAAATGAGGGATACAAAGTATATTGAAAGCAGGCGCTTCCACACAGGTGTGGTTCCAGAGCAATTAACATCCCATCATATTTAGGGTCATGTATAAAAATTCTGGGCAGGCCATTATTTTGGCTACCATGGCTATGTCCCCATAGGATGAAAATGCCCCTATACACAGGGCATGAGTAGTCACTGAATGGTTTGATGAGCATGAAAATGATGGAAACCATATGCCATGGCCATCTCAGTCACCAGATCTCAAACCAATTGAACACTTATGGTGTACTTTAGTTACTATGTTGGCATACTTTAGTTACTCACATTAGGCATGTGTATGCTTTTATGCCTTAGTATCAACATTGCCTCTCTTTGGATGACTGTTGTCCATATGGGGCTCAGCCGTAGATAAAAACTCCAGACCTAGAGGTGTTGATCCAAGACAAACAGGCTGTGTGTGAGTCAGGTCCAACGACAACAAACACTGGAATAAACACACAGACACACACACTTTTCACAGCAATGGTTTAAAACATGATATTTGTTGATATAACACTGAGGGAGAGTGTATTGTCGTTTTCATAGCTTGTTGTATCTGTGTGTGTGCTGTGTAGTTGACTCTGAGGCGGAGACACTGGACTCAGACCTGGGCCAGGTGGGGACCCATGCGTTTGCCCGGATGGAGGGAGACGTGGACAAACAGCGCAAACTAATCCTGCAGGGCCAGCTGTCTGATGCAACCATGCAGAAACAGCACCAGAGAAAGTGTGTTACACAACTTGTACATTCCATCCCTACCATCCATCCTATACCCTAGTTTTACCAACATTTACAGTACACCCTAAGCCAGGACAGTGTTTACATCATGTTTTATAACCTCTCCTGTCGTTGCAGTTATAACCGCTGGTTATGTCGAGCCAGAGCAGAAGACTTGTCTGACATAGCAGCACTGAAAGCCTTATATCAAACTGGTGAGTTCAGTGTGTGTGTGTGTGTGTGAAATCATTTTTCCAGCTCATTGAACACAGCATCAGGGGGTGAGATAATCAGTTTTATAATTTTTCCTTCTCAGGATAAAAAATGGCCAGTAATGAAACGGCCTCTGTCATCATGGCAGGACATCTTTCTTTCTTTCACTCATTCTCTCGCTCTCCCTCTTTTTGTTTCTTTCTCTCTTTCCTCACACTCGTTAATTTCCTTTCATTTAGTTCTTTGGCTCACTCATTTATACTTATTTTTCAGCCATATATATAATATAGTGAGGCTCGTGACAGCCTCCTATTTCACTGAGTGTAATTGTTCCATGTCTCCTCTAGGAGGCAGTGTAGTAACACTGGCAGGCCACTGGGCTGCTAGGCTTATCTCTTAGTTGTGTGTGTGTGTGTGTGTGTGTGTGTGTGTATGTGCACATGTGTGTGTGTGTGTGTGTGTGTGTCCATAGGTGTTGACATGTGTGGCAGGACAGTGATGGTTCTTGTGGGCAGAAATATTCCTGTCACTCTCATCGACATGGAAAAGGTACCAGGCTTCATTTGGAGGCAACATCATGAACATCACAGTTTTAGTGGCTCAATAGAAAATAAATGAATATTGTTGCTCTGTGAACAAGCTTTGACCTCTCCACCATGTGTGTGTTACTCCACTACAGGCCCTGCTGTACTTCATCCATGTCATGGACCACATCACAGTGAAGCAGTATGTGATGGTTTACTTCCACACTCTGACCAGAGAACACAACCATCTGGACTCTGAATTCCTCAAGAAGCTTTATGAGATTGTAGACACCAAGTAAGACGCACACCACATATTTTACTGATTTAGTGAAGCGAGAGAGAACTGAAGGCTATAGAGACAATTACAGACTGTTGGTTACCAGATACGACAGGTGAATCAAATCTGAATGTGTAAGATGAAACCTTTCTCCCTGTGAATGGGAATTTACAGTGAAATTGTTCTGGGGTCTTTAACCCCTATGAACTGTCTGTTTGTTCTTTAGAGAGTACAGTTGGCTCATCCTCCAGTAATAGTTGATTTTCACTGACCAGTTCTGGTTGATCATCTTTTTGTATAGTATCTATTTGTATTGACACCCCCACCCCCTTTGTTTTTACACTGCTGCTACTCGCTGTTTATTATCTATGCATACTTACTGTACAAATTACCTCGACTAACCTGTACCCCCGCACATTGACTCGGTACCGGTACCCCCTGTATATAGCCTCATTATTGTTATTTTATTGTGTTACTTTTTTAATTTTGCCTCTAGTTTATTTAGTAAATAAACTCTATTTTCTTAAAACTGCATTGTTGGTTAAGGGCTTGTAAGTAAGCATTTCACGGTAAGGTCTACACCTGTTGTATTCGGCGCATGTGACAAATAAGATTTGATTTGATCCAAACATATTGTTCAAGCTACCATGGGACCAAGGAAACATTGCTCACTTTCCGATAACTGAAACGGGATAGCTTTTGTGAACACATACGTTTGGAAACCTGGAGTCTGTTTTGGAACGGCTTCCCAAAGCTCTGAGAAAGTTCCCAGAAAATGACATATTGGCGGTGACGCGGCCCAAATCAAAGACGCTAACATTATGAAATTATTTGCATTTCTGGCCAGCTCTACAACCTTCACTGAACAAACAGCTTGTTGCTGACAACAATTGTGCAATTGAAGAAAACGGCATCAGGTTCTATGTGTCTTCTAATCTCCCCTCTTCTATTTCAAGACTTTGCAAAGCACCATACACTTTAACTTAGCAGTGCCAATGTCAACACTATACACCATAACCATGCGTGCCTCTGCTTTAGTACGTCTATTATGTCTAAGTCTAAGATGAGGTCAACTACTAAATACGTTTTTTCCTGTTTACTGACACATTCACACTGGACTGGAGCTGAAAACCACATCCTGCAAATGAAAACCAGAAGCCTTCTCACCTCAACCCCACAGCCATAGATAAGGCAGCACCACCCACAGTACTCCATCTCCTCAGCAGTTGTCATAACACACAACTTCCTCTTTCATGAACAATGTGAGATTATACAGTCGTGGTCAAACATTTTGAGAATGACACAAGTATTGGTCTTCACAAAGTTTGCTGCTTCAGTGTTTTTAGATATTTTTGTCAGATGTTACTATGGTATACTGAAGTATAATTACAAGCATTCCATAAGCGTCAAAGGCTTTTATTGAGAATTACATTAAGTTTATGCAAAGAGTCAATATTTGCAGTGTTGACCGTTCTTTTTCAAGACCTCTGCAATCCGCCCTGGCATGCTGTCAATTAACTTCTGGGCCACATCCTGACTGATGGCAGCCCATTCTTGCATAATCAATGCTTGGAGTTTGTCAGAATTTGTGGGTTTTTGTTTGTCCACATGCCTCTTGAGGATTGACCACAAGTTCTCAATGGGATTAAGGTCTGGGGAGTTTCCTGGCCATGGACCCAAAATGTTGATGTTTTGTTCCCCGAGCCACTTAGTGTTCTTAGGCAAAATTGTGAGTGAGCCCACTCCCTTGGCTGAGAAGCAACCCAACACATGAATGGTCTCAGGATGCTTTACTGTTGGCATGACACAGGACTGATGGTAGCGCTCACCTTGTCTTCTCCGGACAAGCTTTTTTCCAGATGCCCCAAACAATCGGAAAGGGGATTCATCAGAGAAAATGACTTTACCGCAGTCCTCAGCAGTCCAATTCCTGTACGTTTTCCAGAATATCAGTCTGTCCCTGATGTTTTTCCTGGAGAGAAGTGGCTTCATCGCTGCCCTTCTTGACACCAGGCCATCTTCCAAAAGTCTTCGCCTCACTGTGCGTGCAGATGCACTCACACCTGCCTGCTGCCATTCCTGAGCAAGCTCTGCACTGGTGGTGCCCCGATCCTGCAGCTGAATCAACTTTAGGAGACAGTCCTGGCGCTTGCTGGACTTTCTTGGGCGCCCTGAAGCCTTCTTCACAACAATTGAACCTCTCTCCTTGAAGTTCTTGATGATCCGATAAATGGTTGATTTAGGTGCAATCTTACTAGCAGCAATATCCTTGCCTGTGAAGCCCTTTTTGTGCAAAGCAATGATGACGGCACGTGTTTCCTTGCAGGTAACCATGGTTAACAGAGGAAGAACAATGATTTCAAGCACCACCCTCCTTTTAAAAGCTTCCAGTCTGTTTTTCTAACTCAATCAGCATGACAGAGTGATCTCCAGCCTTGTCCTCGTCAACACTCTCACCTATGTTAACGAGAGAATCACTGACATGATGTCAGCTGGTCCTTTTGTGGCAGGACTGAAATGCAGTGGAAATGTTTTTTTGTAATTAAGTTCATTTTCATGGCAAAGAGGGACTTTGCAAATAATTGCAATTCATCTGATCACTCTTCATAACATTCTGGAGTATATGCAAATTGCCATCATAAAAACTGAGGCAGCAGACTTTGTGAAAATTAATATTTGTGTCATTCTCAAAACTTTTGACCACGACTGTAGTCTTTGAAGCTAGTTATTGTAGTCATTGAGAGATTCTACATCCGACCGTATCTGTTGGGATTTGTATCTAGTGTTCCTTTGATATAACAGTAGGTCATATCACTTATTATACTGAACAAAAATATAAACGCAACAATTAAAGATTTTACTGAGTTACAGTTCATATAAGAAAATCAGTTAATTGAAATAAATTAATTAGATCCTAATCTATGGATTTCACATGACTGGGAATACAGGTATGCATCTGTTGGTCAGAAAACCAGTCAGTATCTGGTGTGACCACCATTTGCCTCATGCAGTGCGACGCATCTCCTTCGCATAGAGTTGATCAGGCTGTTGATTGTGGCCTGTGGAACATTGTGACCTGTGGAATGTTGTCCCACTCCTCTTCAATGGCTGTCCGAAGTTGCTGGATATTGGCAGGAACTGGAACATGCTGTTGTACTCGTAGATCCAGAGCATCCCAAACATGCTCAATGGGTGACATGTCTGGTGAGTATGCAGGCCATGGAAGAACTGGGATATTTTCAGCTTCCAGGAATTGTGTACAGATCCTTGCGACATGGGGCTGTGCATTATCATGCTGAAACATGAGGTGATGGCGGCGGATGAATGGCATGACAATGGGCCTCAGGATATTGTCATGGTATCTCTGTGCATTTAAATTGCCATCGATAAAATGCAATCGGGTTCGTTGTCCGGAGCTTATGCCCCACCACCACCATGGGGCACTCTGTTCACAACGTTGACATCATCAAACTGCTCGCCCACACGACGCCATACACGTTGTGAGGCCGGTTGGATGTACTGCCAAATTCTCTAAAACGACGTTGGAGGTGGCTTATGGTAGATAAATGAACATTCAATTTTTCTGGCAACAGTTCTGGTGGACATTCCTGCAGTCAGCAGGCCAATTGAACGCTCCCTCAAAACTTGAGACATCTGTGGCATTGTGTTGTGTGACAAAACTGCACATTTTTGTGCCCTGTTATTGGCCCCAGCACAAGGTGCACCTGTGTAATGATCATGCTGTTTAATCAGCTTCTTGATATGCCACACCTGTCAGGTGGATGGATTATCTTGGCAAAGGAGAAATGCTCACTAACAGAGATGTAAACAAATTTGTGCACAATATTTGACAGAAATATGCTTTTTGGGCGTATGAAACATTTCTGGGATCTTTCAGCTCATGAAACATGGGACCAACACTTTATATGTTGCATTGATCTTTCTGTTCAGTGTAGTAGATCAACTGAGTTTCCACCAGTAAACAGTATGCTGATGGGGTAGTAGGACCATCATCCAAATCAACCGGCTTACACCCAGAAGAACATGTTTGATAACTCTTGGCACTGCTAACTTATTTTCCCAAGAGTTGTGATGAGCAAGTTGTGTCCCCCATAAGAGAAACCGTGTGGCCCTCCATGTATGGACTGTACACCTGCACTCCCGAGTCACCACCACCGCTGCTCTAGACCAGGGATGGGCAACTGATGGGGGTGGAGGGCTGCGTACCCACATCCATACCCACACATTCAGTCAGAGCTGGCCCTAGCCTTTTGGGGGGCCCTAAGTGAAATTAGTTAGTGAGTGTATACATTTTCATACTAGCCCCCCGTGGGAATCGAACCCACAACCCTGGCGTTGCAAGCGCCATGCTCTACCAACTGAGCTACACGGGGTTCTGTCCTCATTTGTTCGTTTTGTAAAAATGCACTCTTCTTTGGTTTGTTCAAAGGACCCAATTGTCTGCTAAAAGAAAAATAACCAGCAAACTGTTCTGTAAATACTTTTGAGTAAACCCAATACATTTGAAGAACTTGATGGCAGTTAAAATGGGTGATCCATCACTGGAAATGAAACCGGAATTGTTATGTAGTTGAATGTTTAAAGCTGCAATATGTAACTTTTTGGGGGACCCAACCAAATTCACATAGAAATGTGAGTTATAGATCTGTCATTCTTATTGAAAGCAAGTCTAAGAAGCAGTAGATCTGTTCTACAGTGAGGGGAAAAAAGTATTTGATCCCCTGCTGATTTTGTACGTTTGCCCACTGACAAAGAAATGATCAGTCTATAATTTTAATGGTAGGTTTATTTGAACAGTGAGAGACAGAATAACAACAACAAAATCCAGAAAAACGCATGTCAAAAATGTTATAAATTGATTTGCATTTTAATGAGGGAAATAAGTATTTGACCCCCTCTCAATCAGAAAGATTTCTGGCTCCCAGGTGTCTTTTTATACAGGTAACGAGTTGAGATTAGGAGCACACTATTAAAGGGAGTGCTCCTAATCTCAGTTTGTTACCTGTATAAAAGACACCTGTCCACAGAAGCAATCAATCAATCAGATTCCAAACTCTCCACCATGGCCAAGACCAAAGAGCTCTCCAAGGATGTCAGGGACAAGATTGTAGACCTACACAAGGCTGGAATGGGCTACAAGACCATCGCCAAGCAGCTTGGTGAGAAGGTGACAACAGTTTGTGCGATTCGCAAATGGAAGAAACACAAAAGAACTGTCAATCTCCCTCGGCCTGGGGCTCCATGCAAGATCTCACCTCGTGGAGTTGCAATGATCATGAGAATGGTGAGGAATCAGCCCAGAACTACACGGGAGGATCTTGTCAATGATCTCAAGGCAGCTGGGACCATAGTCACCAAGAAAACAATTGGTAACACACTACGCCGTGAAGGACTGAAATCCTGCAGCACCCGCAAGGTCCCTCTGCTCAAGAAAGCACATATACATGACCGTCCAATGAACATCTGAATGATTCAGAGGAAAACTGGGTGAAAGTGTTGTGGTCAGATGAGACCAAAATGGAGCTCTTTGGCATCAACTCAACTCGCCGTGTTTGGAGGAGGAGGAATGCTGCCTATGACCCCAAGAACACCATCTCCACCGTCAAACATGGAGGTGGAAACATTATGCTTTTCTGCTAAGGGGACAGGACAACTTCACCGCATCAAAGGGACGATGGACGGGGCCATGTACCGTCAAATCTTTGGTGAGAACCTCCTTCCCTCAGCCAGGGCATTGAAAATGGGTCGTGGATTGGTATTCCAGCATGACAATGACCCAAAACACACGGCCAAGGCAACAAAGGAGTGGCTCAAGAAGAAGCACATTAAGGTCCTGGAGTGGCCTAGCCAGTCTCCAGACCTTAATCCCATAGCAAATCTATGGAGGGAGCTGAAGGTTCGAGTTGCCAAACGTCAGCCTCAACCTTAATGACTTGGAGAATATCTGCAAAGAGGATTGGGACAAAATTCCTCCTGAGATGTGTGCAAAACTGGTGGCCAACTACAAGAAACGTCTGACCTCTGTGATTGCCAACAAGGGTTTTGCCACCAAGTACTAAGTCATGTTTTGCAGAGGGGTCAAATACTTATTAAAATGCAAATCAATTTATAACATTTTTGACATGCGTTTTTCTGGATTATTTTGTTGTTATTCTGTCTCTCACTGTTCAAATAAACATACCATTAAAATTATAGACTGATCATTTCTTTGTCAGTGGGCAAACGTACAAAATCAGCAGGGGATCAAATACTTTTTTCCCTCACTGTATGTGTGCTATTTCTATGCTTCCCGTGCTTAAGTCTTTTCTTTCAAGACATATTTTCTTTTTGATATATTGCTGTTTTTTTCTCTCAATAAGGGCAATAATAAATAAGTCATTATAATAATAATAATAATAATAATAATAATCACTATTTAAAATGCTAGCCAATAGTGATATGTCAGTGAATGAATTCTGTATTTGATGGTTTTTGCTTATTTTTTTGTATTCCAGGTTTAAGAATAACTTGAGGGCTTTCTACTTTGTACACCCCTCATTTCGCTCCAAGGTAAAGTCTACAGTACTCCGTTTTACTGCTTCCCAAACACTGTTGTTATATGTATTTCTACTACTAGGCATTGTTAGGATATGTACAGTGCCTTCTGAAAGTATTCAGACCCTTGACTTTTTCCACATTTTGTTACGTTACAGCCTTATTCTAAAATGGATTAAATGAAAAACAATCCTCAGCAATCTACACACAATACTCCATAATGACAAAGCGAAAACAGGTTTTTAGAAAATGTTGCACATTTATTAGAAATAAAAAACAGAAATACCTTATTTACATAAGTATTCAGACCCATAGCTATGATACTCGAAATTGAGCTCAGGTGCATCCTGTTTCCAATGATGTTTCTACAACTTGATTGGAGTCCACCTGGGGTAAATTCAATTGATTGGACATGATTTGGAAAGGCACATACCAGTCTATATAAGGTCCCACAGTTGACAGTGCATGTCTGAGCAAAAACCAAGCCATGAGGTCGAAGGAATTGTCCGTAGAGCTCCGAGACAGGATTGTGTCGAGGCACAGTTCTGGGGTAGGGTACCAAAACATTTCTGCAGCATTGAAGGTCGCAAAGAACACAGTGGCTTCCATCATTCTTAAATGGAAGAAGTTTGGAACCACCAAGACTCTTCCTAGAGCTGGCCGCCCGGCCAAAACTGAGCTTTTGGGGGAGAGGGGCCTTGGTCAGGGAGGTGACTAAGAACTCGATGGTCACTCTGACAGAACTCTAGAGTTCCTCTGTGAAGATGGGAGAACCTTCCAGAAGGACAACCATCTCTGCAGCACTCCACCAATCAGGCCTTTATGGTAGAGTGGCCAGACGGAAGCCACTCCTTAGTAAAAGGCACATGACAGCCCGCTTGGAGTTTGCCAAAAGACAACTAAAGACTCTCAGACCATGAGAAACAAGATTCTCTGGTCTGATGAAACCAAGATTGAACTCTTTTGGCCTGAATGCCAAGCGTCACGTCTGGAGGAAACCTGGCACCATCCCTACGGTGAAGCATGGTGGTGGCAGAATCATGCTGTGGGGATGTTTTTCAGCGGCAGGGACTGGGAGACTAGTCAGGATCGAGGCAAAGATGAACGGAGCAAAGTACAGAGAGATCCTTGATGAAAACCTGCTCCAGAGCTCTCAGGACCTCAGACTCGGCCGACGGTTCACCTTCCAACAGGACAATGACCCTAAGCACACAGCCAAGACAACGCAGGAGTGGCTTCGGGACAAGTCTCTGAATGTTCTTGAGTGGCCCAGCCAGAGCCCGGACTTAAACCTGATCAAACATCACTGGAGAGACCTGAAAATAGCTGTGCAGCAACGATCCCCATCCAACCTGACAGAGCTTGAGAGGATCTGCAGAGAAGAATGGGAGAAACTCCACAAATACAGGTGAGCCAAGCTTGTAGCGTCATACCCAAGAAGACTCGAGGCTGTAATCGCTGCCAAAGGTGCTTCAACAAAGTACTGAGTAAAGGGTCTGAATACTTATGTAAATGTGAATCCGTTTTCTTTTTTAAAGAAATTAGCAAACATTTCAAAACTTTTTTTTTTTGCTTTGTCATTATGGGGTATTGTATGTAGATTGATGAGGGAGAAAAACAATTTCATCCATTTTAGAATAAGGCTGTAACCTAACAAAGTGGAAAAAGTCAAGGGGTCTGAAAACTTTCCGAATGCACTGCATATACCAGGGTTGGGGTCAATTCCAGTGAATTCAGGTACAATGAAATTAAAATGATCTTCAATGCTTTTCAGTTAGGAACATGTGGACTTGGAATTTGGTTTACTTTCTGAATTGACTGTTTTATGACCAGTCAAGTTTACAACCTTTTCTGACCAAGATCTGCAGGACTCTTCACACACAAACACACACGCATGCACTCCACCCCATTACTGTTCTGGAGTTGTTTTTTTCCGACTGTGAGCCTCCCTGACACATAACCCTGTTCTAACTTCAACCTCTGGTCTCATCTGCACAGTTACTGAGTTGAATCAGCCCGTTAGATGGGAGAAGGCTCACAGTTTAGCAATATACTAATTGGTCAATTAAAATGATCCATGAACTCTGAGGTAACTTGACTCTGAGGTGTAACTTGAGGTGTGTATGAGAGACGGGCCAGGCATTGTGCTGGGGTCATTAGAATTAATGCTTTAAATGGGTTTAAATGGTTTGGAATGGGAAGCAGAGCACACACTTGCGTACTAAAGAGGAGAGTGGAAGTCTATTGGCCTTATTCAATCAAACCTAATAAATGGATTTTAGGGAGAAGTAAATTTGTTTCAATAGATTACCACTTAAACACAGTGGAAGGCTTCAGCCAAAACGCATCCGTGCTATTAACAAGTATTACAATTGAACCTTTAGGGCAGGTTTTCCAACCCGGACACAGGACTAACAAAGTGGTTAATCTGTGTCTGGGAAACGCCCCCCCCCCCCCCCACCCCCCACCCACACACACACACTTTTACCCTTTTTACATTCTATTTACACTTTTTTAGTGTTTCTCCATGTATCTAATCTTATCATGTTAATTTCTCTGTCTGTCAGGTGTCCACCTGGTTCTTCACTACGTTCAGTGTGTCAGGGATGAAGCAGAAGGTCCATCATGTAGAGACCCTCCAGCAGCTCTTCACCTGTATCCTGCCTGAACAGATAGACATCCCCCCCTTTGTCCTAGAGTACAACGCACGGGTGAGGCCCTACACATACCACTCTGTCTCTGTCTAGTTTACGAACCTTGCTGACCTACATCTGCAGGGCTCCACAGACACACACACACATTCACTCATGTATTGAGTTGTGGGTATGTTCCCACATTGTATCATATTCTAAGTGTTGCCCTTTATGTGTGTGTTTCGATTTAAAATGTAACATGTACCTTATCTTCTTCTGACTATTTTTGTTGGTTTGTTCAAAGGACCCAATTGTCTGCAAAAATACAAATAACCAGCAAACTGTTCAGAAAAAACTTTTGAGTAAACCCAAGACATTTGAAGAACTTGATGGCAGTTAAAATGGGTGATCCATCACTGGAAATGAAACCGGAATTGTTATGTAGTTGAATGTAAAGCTGCAATATGTAACTTTTTGGGCGACCCGACCAAATTCACATAGAAATGTGAGTTATAGATCTGTCATTCTTATTGAAAGCAAGTCTAAAAAGCGGTAGATCTGTTCTATGTGTGCTATTTCTATGCTTCCTGTGCTTAAGTTTCGTTTTTGCGTCTTTTAATTTTGGTTTTGTACACCAGCTTCAAACAGCTGAAAATACAATATTTTGGGTACTGGAAAATATATTTCACAGCGGTTTAGATGGTACAATGATTCTCTACACTGTACTTGCTTGTTTTGTCACATAAACTGAAATTAGGTGAACTATTAGAATTTTAGCAACCAGGAAATGGTGGAGCGATTTTTGCATAGTGCATCTTTAATTTAGTTATTTATTCTGGGTTACTGGTCACGGTCGCTAAAATACCTCCACAGATGTAAACACTTGATATGACTGTTAGTATATTTACACAGGTCTGTATGTTCTACTTAAAACTCAATTTGTCAACTGGAGTTATCAACCTAAGTCAGATGGAAAGGAAAAGCAGGACTGAAAAGGAGTGAGCGTTACACAATAGCTCTTTAATATTGTTTATTTGATCTTGTATTGAGATGAAACGAAGAGAGGGGAAACAATGCAATCACTCCTTGCTGGCTCTGGGTGACTCATTTGTTAGTTTGTGGAGTTGGTTCATTTGTAAGCTTATATGCGCTGATACAGTGGTGTAGTGGTGCCTGGAGAAGTGGATATACTCCAGTGGTGGTCAGTGCTGTTTATGATGAGGGAGGACGATTTCTTTTTCATGAGCATGGCGTTATTTCTATTACAGCATGTTGGATGACTGTAATTCATATTCCATTCACCCAGCTCAATGTAACATCGATAGGTTTAGGCTACTACATGATACTAGAATTTCCCCTATACCCATCATGAGGTTGCTACAACCTAGCCTATGAATTAAAGTTTACAATGTAGGTGCACACAGGTTGAGAGAAATTTGAGATGACAGACAGTGACACATGGACAGACAGTGACACATTCAATACCGCCTTGCACACTCTTGCCTGCATCTAGCTTATCTAGGGTGTAATCATTAGTTCAACAGTTGCAAATGAGAGTTTCTATTGGACAAATTCAGGTGTTTTTATCCCCATTCGGTAAACTCAGTTCACTTTCATAGCAGCCACGTTGTATTCCCTCTCACCTTTTCCCTTCCTTTGTGGACTTCAATGAACAACACATCAGCTGTATGTGACCAGGCTGAAAAAACGTTCCAAGCCAAAACATGTCATAACCGCTACACACAGCCTACATCATTGTCCCCATATTAGCTAAAGTAACGTCCTAGTCAACATAGCTAATAGAACTAATGTGTTAGTAAACCCGCTACAATCGTGCAGAAATGTTAGTGTATAGTCAGTAAGCAGTTACACCGGCGGTCCCCGGTGGCAATTAATTAATAAACCCAAAAGCTTACCTTGACTTGGAAGAGTTCCAGTGTTGTGTTGGATAGTCATAGCCAGATAGCTAACATAGCATCCCTCTGTTTGAGCCGGGTGTTTGAGTAACTAAACTAGACCGCTGCATTTGCTAGCTAAGTGAAACTGAAAGTGAAAAAAAATGATGAACTCTCTCTCTCTTGCTTCTCCTTCATTTTTGAAGAAATTAATTTGTTGAAAACTGTTCAACTATTTTTCTTTCTCTCTCTTTGAGTCAACTACTCACCACATTTTATGCACTGCAGTGCTAGCTAGCTGTAGCTTTCAGTACTAGATTAATTATCTGATCCTTTGATTGGGTGGACAACATGTCCGTTCATGCTGCAAGAGCTCTGATAGGTTGGAGGACGTCCTCCGGAAGTTGTCATAATTACTGTGTATGTCTATGGAAGGGGGTGAGAACCAAGAGCCTCCTAGGATTTTGTATTGAAGTCGATGTACCAAGAGGAGGATGGAAGCTAGCTGTCCTCCGGCTACACCATGGTGCTACCTTACAGAGTGCTGTTGAGGCTACTGTAGACCTTCATTGCAAAACAGTGTGTTTTAATCAATTATTTGGTGACGTGATGTAAAAGTTGCCCTATGTGAAATTCAATGAGAAACTGTGACATACACTCTGAATGACCTAAAATAAATAAATCCCATATTGGTCTTTCACAGTCAGGCAAACCCAAGCTGTACTGTGCAAGTAGGCTAATATTAGGCCTACTATTGAAATCGATAAATGAGACTGTCAACTGAGTCAGATTTTTTTTCTTCAGGTTTTCGCTCTCAAAGTCACACTTTTTTAACATACAACTAAATTGTATGTTCTAATACCATAACAGTGCTTGAACCACATCAGGAGTCCACATTTAAGGTCTGGTAAAAAATCAAATACATTTTGATTTGAGTGTAGTTGCCTTTTAACTCAAGTGTGCAGGCACCTAGCACTGTTGTTTGGTTAGCAGTGTTTCTGTTGTACATGAGAAGGAGTTTGCAAAAGAAATGGCCACTGGGTTGATGCAAATAATCATGATATTCTGACAGGTAGGCATAGGCTACTTTCTAGGTAGTTAACATTTAATAGAGAAGGTTTTTGGGAAAGCCTTTCCATCTACCAGAAGACGGTTAGGCCTATTATTAGCATCCCTGTATTTTTCCTTCATTGTTTGACACCTGGACGTTTTACTTCATAATATGAGAGGCATGTCTTACCTAGCTTCAAAGTAGCCTATATCTAAAATCCCACCATAGAGACGTGGAGGCAATCATTTTTCATAAAGACTTACTCATATGCGTTCTCCTGTTCTATTTGTTTTTTAAAAACTTTCTTTCATTGTCTAGCAGCCAAAGGCATTATCCTAGTCATATTAGCAACCCATGATAGTTGTTGCATCTTTAAATCCCCCCCGTTTTACCAAATTTCTAATGGATATTTCCATCTCTGGCCATGAAACCGCTCGCATGTGCGGTGCGCATTTTAGAATGGTGTTTTCCCGCAACTGCATTTTGGAACGTTCATGCGTAAATTGCTGCGCCTAAAATGTGAAGAAATAATAGTTTAGCAACATTTTAAGCTAAACATTCTGATCTGTTCCATCAGCCTTGATATGGCAATTGATATGGCATATACAGTGCATTCGGAAAGTATTCAGATCCCTTAACTTTTTCCACATTTTGTTACGTAACAGCCTTATTCTAAAATGTATTAAATAGTTTATTTTCCTCATCAATCTACACATAATACCGCATAATGACAAAGCAAAAACAGGTTTTTAGAAATTTTAGCAAATGTATAATTTTTTACTAACTGAAATATCACATTTACATAAGTATTCAGACCCATTATCCAGTACTTTGTTGAAGCACCTTTTGGCAGCGATTTCAGCCTTGAGTCTTCTTGGGTAGGACGCTACAAGCTTGGGACACCTGTATTTGGGGAGTTTCCCCCATTCTTCTCTGCAGATCCTCTCAAGCTCTGTCAGGTTGGATGGGGAGCGTCTCTGCACAGCTATTTTCAAGTCTCTCCAGAGATGTTCGATCGGTTGAAGTCCGGGCTTTGGCTGGCCCAATCAAGGACATTAAGAGACTTGTCCCGAAGCCCCTCCTGCGTTGTCTTGGCTGTGTGCGTAGGGTCGTTGTCCTGTTGAAAGGTGAACCTTCGCCCCAGTCTTTCCCTCGATTCCGACTAGTCTCCCAGTCCCTGCCACTGGTGCAAGGTTTCCTCCAGACGTGACACTTGGCATTCAGGCCAAAGGGTTCAATCTTGGTTTTATCAGACTAGAGCATCTTGTTTCTCATGGTCTGAGTCCTTTAGGTGCCTTTTGGCAAACTCGAAGTGGGCTGTCCTGTGCCTTTTACTGAGGAGTGGCTTCAGTCTGGTTGGTGGAGTGCACTGTACTTCCACTACACTACTTTGATACGTATCAGTGTGGATTAAGAAGTGAGTATGCGCAATGCCCACTGATATATAAGTGGGTATGCGGCGTATACCTGCGTATACACTCCACTACACCACTGTGCTGATATCTCGCTTCTTGTCCTTGTTTTGCATGGGCATGTGTTGGGTTAGATTGGGTAGGGAGGGGAATGTCTTTGAAGTGGAGGCTCCATTATGGATCTATCTGTATGTACAGTGAGGGGGAAAAAGTATTTGATCCCCTGCTGATTTTGTACGTTTTCCCACTGACAAAGAAATGATCAGTCTATAATTTTAATGGTAGGTTTATTTGAACAGTGAGAGACAGAATAATAACAAAAAAATCCAGAAAAACCCATGTCAAAAATGTTATAAATTTATTTTCATTTTAATGAGGGAAATAAGTATTTGACCCCTCTGCAAAACATTACTTAGTACTTGGTGGCAAAACCCTTGTTGTCAATCACAGAGGTCAGACGTTTCTTGTAGTTGGCCACCAGGTTTGCACACATCTCAGAAGGGATTTTGTCCCACTCCTCTTTGCAGATCTTCTCCAAGTCATTAAGGTTTCGAGGCTGACGTTTGGCAACTCGAACCTTCAGCTCCCTCCATAGATTTGCTATGGGATTAAGGTCTGGAGACTGGCTAGGCCACTCCAGGACCTTAATGTGCTTCTTCTTGAGCCACTCCTTTGTTGCCTTGGCCATGTGTTTTGGGTCATTGTCATGCTAGAATACACATCCACGACCCATTTTCAATGCCCTGGCTGAGGGAA